GTATGTCATCAGGAAACTTTGTCCCCAACTGTCTGGGTAAGTATTCATGTATGTCATCAGGAAACTTTGTCCCCAACTGTCTGGGTAAGTATTCATGTATGTCATCAGGAAACTTTGTCCCCAACTGTCTGGGTAAGTAATCATGTATGTCATCAGTTAACTTTGTCCCCAACTGTCTGGGTATGAATTCATTTTTGTAATCAGAGTTTCGTCCAGGCATTTCTTCGGGGGCGCATAGCCCCCCCCCCCCCCCACTACCCAAACAAAATGGAATTTATATAGAAACTATTTCTTTATCAGTGTCCGACCCCCGCCCCTCTCCCCCCCCCTCCGGAATATTTAGTCCGCACCACCCCCTTTCCGAAAATTTCAAGTGCCTCTCCCCCACTCCCGGAGAAAAAAAATTATGTCATAAAACCAGACCTGGTCAGCACGCAGCGTTATTCCCCTCTTGTCCAAACTTCCTGACTTAAAATGCATGATCAGAACGTGCAAGCTAAATATGACCATTTCAACAAAACATTTTCGTAAATTTCAGTTTAGGTTAAATTTAACGGTTTATGACGTTTTCACCACTTAAAGCCAAATTTACAATTGTTTACTTCAGTCCCAGTACGTCCTCAGTACGTCATGACGTCACCCAGCTTCTACTACTACAGCGGTAACTGTAGCAGTGACGTCAGTGTGGTCAAGGAAAAATTTCTCACGGCCTTGACAGCTCTAGAACTGGTGGTGGCGGACCAGAAGGTTGACGTCAGTGAGGTCAAGGTCACTTGCGGCAGACAGACCAAGAGACGAAGGTCAAAGAGAAACCTGGTCTATGCCTACAAGGTGAAAAGTTTACGTTTGTAATACTTTGTATTTTATATGAGGTTTTGTTTACCAGACGCGAATCAAAGAAAAGAACACTGCAAGACCTCCGCAGACATACACGCTGTACATACTGAAATTTAGACGAGCATTCATTAAATTTACCTGAACATTCATTAACTTTACATGGGTTCATTAAATTTACATGGGTTCATTAAATTTACATGCACATTTGGACTAATATTTAGTCATAGAAAACTCAGATAGCCTCAAGCATTTAGAAAAACTAATAGAGGAAATCCTCGAGTAAAATTTCAAGAAACATTAGTTGATGTCAGATTAAGACGTGTTTGTGTGTAAGGACGTCTACAAAAATATGGCCGCAAGAAATAATTTAATTTAAAAACATGTCTTTGTCTCCAGTTGACGCCCATCATTAAAATCGGAATAGATCATGACGTCAACAGAACAATGACGTCATACAGCTTTGTCAGGTACTCTATCAATGAAAAACTGTCAAACTTGTCGACATCCGGTGACCTTGACCTACCTGGTGTCGGCACTTTCAGCAAGGTGAAGGCTGGTCGTCTGGAAGTTCGGTGTGGCCTGGGCACCAGATTGATGAAAGACTCTCTGACGTGTGGTTAGTCAACACGTTTGTTGTGTGTATCTCAAGACACAAGCTCAGCACATATCACATAGACATAAACACTTAACAAAAATATATCTCCGCAAGTAAATATCACGACAGTTTAACCTTTAAAAATATTTAAACAAATCAACACAACTAACACCCAACAATCATATGTCAAAGAGAACATATTTCAGACTGATCCGAAACAAAATTTTAGTAACAGCAAAATTATTTTAAGCACAATTTAATATCTCAGTACAAATTATCTCAGGAAAAAACCATCTCTAACCGAATTTAATAAAAAATAATTATATCAAATACAGAATATCTCAGGGAAAATATCTCAAACACAGAAAACACAACTCACGACAACAAAAAAATCTTAGACTAAATATCTTCTATGAAAATAGATTATGAAAGCAAGCATAAACTTTCCTAAAGATGGATGTATTTACTGGGGAATCGTCAGAATGGATGATCCTAATCTTGTTATTACAGTAAGCTGTGGACAAGGTTACATCTACGACACAAAGACAGACAAATGCAGGGAATGTCCTAAAGACACCTATCAGGACCAGGACATTGGGTTCACCTGCCAGCCGTGCCCTACAGGTACAACGACAGTCTACATGGGGTCAGTCAGTCTCAAGCAATGTCAAGGTCAGTTCTGTTCTTAGCTAGGGATCATTACACCTGTCATACGTTTCATGTAATTGACCCTTGTCCACCCGAGACTGTCAATGTTTGTGTTATTGCCTTGTGTTAGCTAAATGTTTGTGTTATTGCCTTTTGTTAGTTCAATGTTTGTGTTATTGCCTTTTGTTAGCTAAATGTTTGTGTTATTGTCTTGTGTTAGTTCAATGTTTGTGTTATTGTCTTGTGTTAGTTCAATGTTTGTGTTATTGCCTTTTGTTAGTTCAATGTTTGTGTTATTGCCTTGTGTTAGCTAAATGTTTGTGTTATTGCCTTGTGTTAGCTAAATGTTTGTGTTATTGTCTTGTGTTAGTTCAATGTTTGTGTTATTGTCTTGTGTTAGTTCAATGTTTGTGTTATTGTCTTGTGTTAGTTCAATTTTTGTGTTATTGCCTTATGTTAGTTCAATGTTTGTGTTATTGTCATGTGTTTGTTCAATGTTTGTGTTATTGTCTTGTGTTTGTCTTGCCTCTTTGTAGTTTGTATTCGTTATCAATTTTTTATTTAGCTTAATTTATAAAGCGGCCATTTTTGTGTGCTTATTCTTCGTTCCAAATTGTAATATAGGACATTATTTGCTCATACACAATTAAGTGTAACGTGACAGCATAATATAACGGCCGTCGACTCAGATTTTCAGCCTGCTTTTCTAGCTGGATTTGCTACACGTCAGTAGCTGTTTCGTTTTTTAGATTTCTCTCCTAAAAGGCTCGTTGTTCCCAGCTATCGTGCTTCATCTGCCCATAGATTCGAACCATTGGCTTTTTGTCTTTACAGCCATGCCTTTTATTGGTCCAACCAAATCGACTCCTATATCTCCCGATAAGTCACACTAATGACTAAATTATTGCTTCTAAATTTAAAACTCAAACTTTGTTGGTCTAAGTAAGCTTCAAAAAATATTAGCCAAAGTAAAAAAAAAATCAGTTGATTATGTTAGAGAAAAAAAAATTTTCAACAAAACTGTCACGGCCCTTTTATATGACTGAGTTCATGGCACAAATTAAAGGCAAATACAAACCACATTATTGGTGATTTTACAGTCTAGAACCACGACTTTCAGTTTCGTCATCCTTCTCGCGCTCTATCTACCTCTCTCTGCTTCCTTTCCTTAGCGCATGCGCACACCCACCTTAAATTTTCGATCCATATCGCCTTTTTAAGATACACACTCGAAACATACATTCATCTACATTTAACTGTTACAAAAATGTTATCCTTGCAAGTGACAGTGTTACCAGCCAGAGAGGCTGAACGTGCTCATCATTGATTCACCAGTCTATCCATTAAAAGAATAATTTTATTGTTTTCTGTAATGTAGATATCAACTGAATTTGTCGAGAATGTGCACCAGCCCAGCAAATGGCATAAACTGAGAGGCATTCTGAAAAATCTTCCAGAATCATGTGCTTGTATATGGAAACAATATGTAGTAATTGTATGCTTATTTACATTGAGACTTGTCTTTTAATGCATATTTTCTGTAGATTATATGTATATTATTTTAAATAAATAAAATTGGAAATACAATTTGATAGCATATTGTATTTGCTGATAATTTGAAACAATAATTTGCAAAGAAAAAATTCTATTTGAAGTTAAAATAAATGCATACTGGTCAGGGGTGAGTGTGTGTGTGTGGGGGGGGGGGATGGCTGATTTTCTATACCTATATCAAAAAAGATTAGTAAAATGTTCATTTTTCTTGTAAAAAAATAAAATAAAATAAATAAATAGATTATTTTAGAAAAATGATTCAAAATAATGTTAATCTCATTGATGATTCCATTATTAATGAGACACAAAAATTCAGCTATGCTAACCATATAACTTTCCTTCATAATACAACCATAATAAAGCTGAACATTCATGGTTTATAAAGAAAATATTAATTAGTTTTAAAATAGGTAATTAAACATCAAATTAAAACATTGATTTTAGATAAAAAACAACAACAATTAAGTTGTAAAGTGCAATTTACTATGATTTGTAAGTAAAAATTTGGGGGCTCTAAAAAATCTGGGGCCCTGACGTCAGTCCCATCAGCCCCCCCCCCCTTAATCCGCCATTGTCCGTAAAACCCACAAATCAACAAACATACAAAAGAGCATCGCAAACTATAGGTTAGGTTAGGTTAGGTTAGGTTAGGTTAGGTTAGGTTAGGTTAGGTTAGGTTAGGTTAGGTTAGGTTAGGTTAGGTTAGGTTAGGTTAGGTTAGGTTAGGTTAGGTTAGGTTAGGTTAGGTTAGGTTAGGTTAGGTTAGGTTAGGTTAGGTTAGGTTAGGTTAGGTTAGGTTGGGTTGGGTTGGGTTGGGTTGGGTTAGGTTAGGTTAGGTTAGGTTAGGCTAGGCTAGGTTAGGTAAGTTTGGTTAGGTTAGGTTAGGTTAGGTTAGGTTAGGTTAACCTAGAATGTTATCAAGCCATCACGATGCTATTGCAGCCAGAAAAATAAACACTGCGACTAGCTGACCTTGAAAACAGACTACCGGATACACACAAACACACTCACGCACATATATAGAGGTTCTTGTTTTCGCTTACAGCAGGAAGTAAGTAATAGAAAAACACAATGGGGCATTTTTTTGTTGTTGATCATCCATTCGTGATGTTCAAAGTCTACAAATTTTGGCGAATATATGCAACATAGTGCATGTGAGTATTGAGTAACTAAATGATATTTATTATAAGTGAGTGGGTTGTTTTTATACATTCACAATGTAGCTCTTGATATATTCGTATTACGCATACATACATATATATATATATATATATATATATATATATATATATATATATATATATATATATATATATATATGGTTGCGTTGTCTTGTTAGTTATTGTTACGTCCCTTGTGTTATATTTATCTTAGTGATGTCCCTTGAATATCTAGTGTGCCGCTCTACTGTGTTGTCAGTCAATGTGTTGCTATGAGTGAGGCTTTAGAGATGTCGTGTCTTCGTAGTTCTACTCTGTATGAATATTAAAGTGTGTAAGTTGACGTGAAGGTGCTTAAAGTTTATTCTAAGTGATTGGAAATGAGTAATCATATATATAATGTATATATATATATATATATATATATATATATGTCTTTAAAATATGTTTTTTTTGTGGTTGTATTTAATATATTTTTAAAAGCTGTGTATTGTAGGCTGATCTTCTTCGTATGGGTATGCTAAAGTTTTAATCAAATAATTATAATTTCATAGAATATATTCCATTACAAAATATACAAATAGTAGTTGATCAATTTGATTAAAGGCGTGAATCAATTGTTTAAAATGTGCAGCAAACGAAAAGAATAAACATTTGTCAATTTAATAGACAACCTGTTGTTCGCTTTTTTATTTTTTCGTCTCTTTTTTTAACTTGATGTATTTACAATGATTTAATACATTTCAAAAGTTGTGTTATTATGAAATACGCACTTTTAAATAGCTATTGAAAAATCAAAATGTTTTCATTTAACCTATTACATATCAAAAAATATATGTGACAAAGACAAATACCTTGCTACAAATATACATTGCTTTTAGACACATATTACACAACTTTTAATAGGCATACAAAAATAACCCATTAAACACATCACACACCATATATAACCAATCAACTACTTAAGCACAATCAAATGTACAGCTATTGTTCTACTGGTATCAGCCACCCTCCACCACACAATTACACACTTAGGTTGTTGTGAAATAATTTGCTTGATCGAATGATATTTAGATCTGTTTGCGATAGCATGTTGCGTTTGCATTAGCATTTACTTGTGCGTTGTGTTTGCGTTTGCTTTTGCGTTTGTGTTTGTTTTGTCTTCGCGATTTTTTTAGTTTGAGTTTGCTTTAGTTTGCATTTTAATTTTCTTTTGTATTTGTGTTAGTATTTACTTTTCTGTTTGCGCTTGCGTTTGTGTTTTCCTGTCTGCTTGCTTTTGTGTTTTTTGTTGTTTTCCTTTTTCGTTTTCGTTTGTGTTGTGTTTGCATTTTTGTTTTAAATTGCGTTTGTTTGCGTTTGTGTTTTCTTATGTGTTTGTATTTGTGTTTGCGTTTGTGTTTGCGTTGTGTTTATTCTTGCTTGTTGTATTGTGTTTCATTTTGTTTTTGCGTTTGCATTGTGTTTGCGTTTTGTTTAAGTTAGCGTTTGCGTTTGTTTTTTTCTTTTGTGTTTGCATTTGTTTTTGCATTTTCTTTTATTCTGTTCCCATGTTGGTACAGTTGGCACATTTAACAAAGATTCACCGTAGCGAAGCACAGGTACGCATATATATATATATATATATATATATATATATATATATATATATATATATATATATATATATATATATATATAATACGTGTGTGTGCCTGTGTGTATGTGTTTATGTATTTCTGTGTTAGTAAAGAAATACTATTTTTGCTCTCTGCATTTACAACAAATAAAAAGTTGAATTATTCACAAGTTGTAACAAGAAGAAAAAAAGCATAGAGCACAAACATGGGATGGTTTTCATATGAGAGAATGCCGCTGACGGTATTCACGTTCTGGGGACTTGTTACGTTGCTGTTTGCTGCACGTGTGTCTAAAGCTGGCGTGGGACTCTCAGGTATTTTCTTAATATAATGTTTTTCTGTTTTTCTCATTTTGTTAGTTTTTAACACTAAAATGTCTACTACTTTAATAATAATAATAATACAAGGCCCACCACATTTTCAGTATTTGTTTTCATGTAATAATATAACTTTTTAACAGGTGATGGTTTTCATCAAAAATATTTTATGCTAAAAAAGTCTCCAAGCTGAATTTTTTCACATGTTAATTAGAGTGCAACATTTAAGACCTTGTAGAATTTCTAACAGTGTTTATATAAAAAATTTGTTGTGACACAAATTTCAATATATAAATACTGAAATATAAACAGTATTTAAAAATCTTTAGATATTAAATTGGAAAAAAATGAACATATCTTCTAAACTCAAGATTAATTTATAAATGAAACACCTTTAAACACCTGATAAAAATTGATTTTTATAAAAAAATAATGCACTGATAAATTTTAAAGAGTGTTTATCAAATATAAGCCTACTTTCTAACTGAATATAGAGCTGGTAAGTAGGTCACCAACCAGTTCTACGGCTCAATAAAACCTACATGAGCCATAGAACTGGTTGTTGACCTACTTACCAGCCCTATAAGTAGGCGACTCTTACAAATGACTTCCCACCCCAACTAACTTTTGTCTGTGTGAGCCCAGACGTGAAGGCCCCTACCAACAGGCCACCTACAATCACCTGCCCATGTGTCAACAATGTCTACACGGCCAGACGTGAGACTTCAACGGTCGTCACGTGGCCAGCACCCTCAGTCTGGGACCCAGAGGACGGAAACATTACGTAAGTTTTTTTTTTCAAATTGTTAAAGGACCTAACTCCCCCACGAGATTTCAGTTTAGTCACCAACATTCATCACACTGATCTACTCAGGCCGATCATTATACTTTGCATGATTAGATATAAGATAAAGATAATATAAAGGACGCCATGGTAGCTAAACATTCGCTCTACATATTTTTCAAGTTTATATATGTTATGTTTTCACTAAAGACATAAAGAAAATTAAATAATAGCAAAAGAAAAAAAAAATTGTAACCATTGAAATTTATCAGTAGGGTAACCCGGGGTAATTCCATACACTACTTTTCTAAAAAATTTGTAAAAAATCTAAAATCAACACTACCAAAATATAATATTGAGGGTAAAACTAGACATGCATTACTTATATGATGGCAAACAAATATAAAGATAATTCACAAAATAAAATACAATTTTTAAATATTTCACTTTTATTGCAAAAAACATGGCAAGTGGGGCAATTCCACACACATTATGAAAATTTTAAAATTCATGTATTTAAAAATGTGTAAAAAACATTTTTCCCCTTGGAAACAATTTTGCATGGGGGCAACCAGTCTTCATCAATGGGTGAGGAGAAAGTCTCAATTTCTTCCTCCTGAATTCTACTCTCATCTGTCATAGGCCGAAGTTATTCGTTTATAATTGTGGACCATTCTGAAACAAATACAAAATTAAATGTTAGAAAGTCTAATTACTAATGTGTATATGGGGATGTTTAGCTCTAAATATTGCATAAATTATAATAAATAATATAGGTACAGTAAAAATAATAATAGATAAAGAAATAAAAGAAGTATGTGGCAATTTTACTTAACTTTAATAGCAGAGTCTTTTTAAAAAATAAATAGTACTAGATCTAGTGCTATTCAAGTATTTTTTAAGATTAAATCATGAGTTGTGAATTACAGAATTAGCCACAACCATTTGAAATGGTTTAAAATAAAAGCTAAACCCTCTAAAGAGTATACAAAGCAACATGGGACATTCCAAACTATAGTGTATGGAATTGCCCCACACCATGTGTGTGGAATTGCCTCACACCTACTATTGAAAAAAAATATGCTTTCCTGTTCTAAATTAAAGGCTGAATCTAGCATCATTAACTGTTACTATTAACAAAAATGATTAAGCTTTCATATAATCAATAAATAATTGACAACAATTAAAAAAAAGACAAAAAAAAATATTTTTTAAAAAGTGCAGGGGTTGTACTTACCTAAGGATGTTTGAAGATAGATGCAGATAAAATTAAAATTCTTGCTCTGAATGTAGGTGAACGCTTCTCTAACAGTATCAGAAAGTACAAGAAATGACCTCTTAGAAACAGGGAATAGTAACTTTTAATTTAACTTTACTCGCATTAAAAATAGAGAGTATCCAGTATATAGTGTGTGGAATTACCCCGTGTGTGGAATTACCCCACCTTACCAACTCATGCAATTAAGAAGAAATTTAGCAAAAATTATATTTCACATCTAGTATTGTGGTTGCTAACCACCCAATCCATACCACCCACCTGATATAACACAAAACGCAACGTAAACCAGTCACTATACCAGCCTAACAAATGATATGTGCATTTTCCGTGTGGCCATAGTTGAACTTTAACCGGTACCATTATCCACTCGCTTGATTCATTGATATAACAATACATTATTTTCTATTCATTTGATATTTATGTAGGCCTACCCCATGTTTTATAATACAAGTTCAATATAAGTTGTAGCTGCTGGTCTATATAACTCAATCAGAGTTTCTTCCAGAAAGTGTACACCCCCCCCCCCCGGAGAAAAAAGTCTGGAAGAAACACTGAACTCAATAAATATAAGCTATGCTGTATAATCATGTCATGTTTGCTGATGTTGTATTACAGCGTGCATCAGACTGGCGGCAATAGGTCAGGGTCAGAGTTCGAGGCTGGGACTCACCTGGTGTTGTTTGAAGCTGTGGACAGCGGCAGGCTGAGGGTCACGTGTCAAATACAATTTCAAGTTCTGGGTGAGTACCTGCATTTTGTGTTATGGTATTTAGCTTAACCCATGAACTAGCATTGTGATTTTTAGCGTGTCAACTAACGTTCATGTATTTACTCATGAACTAGTGATGGTGTATTTATTGATGAACTAGCGTTAGTGTATTTAACTATGAAAAAACGTACTTGATATCGAAAGATGATGGCCATTATACGGAAAAAGACCATCGTCTGGAATTCCCCTAGCTGATTAAAAAATGGGACAACCCAGGTAAAAACCAGGAGATTTGTGGCATGGCCAAATAGCGAGAGTTTGAGAACTGAGTCTAGGACTGTCTGACCTGGAAATCTCCAGTCAACGACCTATGACCTTGTTGCAACACAGACCAACACTTGCTGATAACCTAATGGTTCACTAGTTACACAACTTAAATTGTCTGCAGTGCGTAAATGCCCTGAGATGTCAGTCACCAACGGTTACAGTGAGTGCAGCCACGACAACATCTACGGGAGTGTGTGTCGCTTTCGGTGCCACCCAGGGTTCGAGACCACCGGGGAGACTGACCCCGGCCCCCATACGAATGGAGAGATGACGGCGTCCTGTGAAATTGACCAGAGATGGGTGGGCGTGGCAAGCCAAGAGATAATCTGTGAAAGTAATTATAAACCATTTGAAACTTTTCTCCTTCTGTATCAGATCATCCACTGGCAAGATATTGTGGACGATTAAAGTCAAAATAAAAATGTGCCTGTTTGTTTCCTTGATTTGTTTTCCTTTTCCACCTCCTTCCCATTTTGTCTATTTTCTCTTTAAAGATCAGCATTTTATTTGATCTATTATCGCCTTCTCTCTTGGAATCTCGTGAGCCATCTTGTTATCTTTAAATACTGTTCTTGAGTCTTGACCCTATCAATTGTATGTCCCTAATGCTCTGCTATACCTCCCCGTCCGATAAAACTAGTGATACAGTGCGAGCAGCCGGTTGTCAGAAACGGTCAGCTGATCTGCAAATCCGTGAACTACAACTCGGTCTGTTTTCTGTCATGTGATGCGGGCTACAATCCCATTGGTCAGCAGCAAACGTTGTGCTTGGCCAATAAAACATGGACACCCTATGGACAATGTCGAGGTATGATTGTTACATGTCCAGTTAAGATTGTTTCACATCCAGGTATGATTGTTACATGTCAAGTTAAGATTGTTTCACATCCAGGTATGATTGTTACATGTCCAGTTAAGATTGTTTCACATCCAGGTATGATTGTTACATGTCCAGTTAAGATTGTTTCACATCCAGGTATGATTGTTACATGTCCAGTTAAGATTGTTTCACATCCAGGTATGATTGTTACATGTCAAGTTAAGATTGTTTCACATCCAGGTATGATTGTTACATGTCCAGTTAAGATTGTTTCACATCCAGGTATGATTGTTACATGTCCAGTTAAGATTGTTTCACATCCAGGTATGATTGTTACATGTCCAGTTAAGATTGTTTCACATCCAGGTATGATTGTTACATGTCCAGTTAAGATTGTTTCACATCCAGGTATGATTGTTACATGTCCAGTTAAGATTGTTTCACATCCAGGTATGAATGTTACATGTCCAGTTAAGATTGTTTCACATCCAGGTATGATTGTCACATGTTCAGTTAAGATTGTTTCACATCCAGGTATGATTGTTACATGTACAGTTAAGATTGTTTCACATCCAGGTATGATTGTTACATGTCCAGTTAAGATTGTTTCACATCCAGGTATGATTGTTACATGTCCAGTTAAGATTGTTTCACATCCAGGTATGATTGTTACATGTCCAGTTAAGATTGTTTCACATCCAGGTATGATTGTTACATGTCCAGTTAAGATTGTTTCACATCCAGGTATGATTGTTACATGTCCAGTTAAGATTGTTTCACATCCAGGTATGATTGTTACATGTCCAGTTAAGATTGTTTCACATCCAGGTATGATTGTTACATGTCCAGTTAAGATTGTTTCACATCCAGGTATGATTGTTACATGTCCAGTTAAGATTGTTTCACATCCAGGTATGATTGTTACATGTCCAGTTAAGATTGTTTCACATCCAGGTATGATTGTTACATGTCCAGTTAAGATTGTTTCACATCCAGGTATGATTGTTACATGTCCAGTTAAGATTGTTATATGTCCAGGTATATATATATATATATATATATATATATATATATATATATATATATATATATATATATATATATATATATATATATATATATATATATATATATATATATATATATATATATATATATATATGTAACTAGGTGTAGTTACCAGAGACGATAACAACGCAATAGTGCAGGTGTTGGACTGATAAGCCAACTGATAACGATCATAAAGCCACGGCGTATTTTGGGAAGGATACGACAAGCGCTGTCAACTTTGACACGACTTGGCTGATGAAACAGTGCAGGTGTTCTATTAATCGGACTGATGAGACAACTGCGTAGTAATCGGAAGGCGAGATATTCGGATTGAACATAACTATGATAGAACCGAATACGATTACGAATACGAAGGGGATATATAGGAAGGCGACAGCTAAGATCGAGAGAGATGAGTAAGAGATCAGTCAGTCAGTAGGAAAGTGGCAGTATCAAGTTGGTTATTGAACGGGTTAGCCGTATTGTGTTAATAAGGACGATAGACATGTGCATTCAGTTATGTGAAGACTAGTGAGGACTGTTGGGGGTCAGTTGATTCAGACTATTATTGTGAAGCATTTCTTTTGATTCATTATATTATTGTGAAGCATTTCTTTGATTCATGTAATAAAAGGATCAATAGTGAACCTGCATCTTCGAGTATCTATACTGTGGTCGATGTTGTGTAGAATGAGTGGTTAGACTCGTTAACATTTGGCACTACAGGCAAATAGACTCGTTACATATATATATATATATATATATATATATATATATATATATAGTATTTCCTTGCTTTACTTTCATATTGATTTCATGTAAACATAACTTTATTTGAACATTACATTAACATTACTTCAACATTACTTCAACATTACTTCAAGAAAAACTTGATCTTACTTCAGACGTTCAACCACCAACCATTTCTTGCCCGACCACTATAGAAGCACCAGCTGGGCCAAAGCTTGGAGAGGCTGTGGTCTTCTGGGACATGCCGGAAGTGTCCGATAACTCCGGTCTGGACACGGAAGTTGTCAGTGACGTCATTTCCGGATCCAACTTCAGCGTGGGAAAACACGTCGTAACATTTACAGCAACAGATGCTTCTAAAAATAGTAACATGTGCAAGACTTTTATCAAAGTCGCAGGTACAGTTATTGATGTCATTTAGTAGTTCCAGTTTTTTTTTACTACAAATTAGGGAAGTTTTAAATCAAATGTTTGTCATTTGGTCGAACTGTTGACGACACTATAAATGAAAATTAAATAACGAGTTTGGGTTTTTAAGATCCACCAATTCTGACGGTGAAAAGACTCGTGATAAAGAGAAGTTGGTTCTATCACATCTTCTCGTAATTTTCTAAGTTCGTGGAAATGTGTTTTCCTTTTTTTTCGTTTTACAGTAATCTACTGTCCAGAATACACACCAGCCTATAAAGCAGACGTGACCTGTTCCCATGGTGCCGCCTACGGCTCTGAATGTATCACCACGTGTCACCCTGGCTACGAGTTACGTAACGTCACAGAGCGTGCGCAGACATGTTTATTGAACCAGTCATGGAGCTACGTCAAACCTGGCTGCAGACGTAAGTGTCTTAAAGCGCTAGAACTGTCTGCATTCTTGTACAAGTCACATGTCTTTATAATTCGGACTGATTGCAGACAAATGTCCTGTTAGTCTTAACATCTAAGCAATATTTAATGCAACCCACTTGTCATACTTAAAACTTAAGCTATGATACATCTGCAACAATCTGTTACGATTTTCAAGTGTAACCCCAACACAACACATGTTACAGACTACATCAGCATCAAAACTGCAGCACCCAATTGGGATAAATAAAAATCTTGAACATGGCACGTAACAATTATCTCTAACTAGCCCGGACATGCGCAGCTCCACCCAAAGTCCTACAAGGACAGTTCTATTGTCCTCGGGGACATCAGTACAATGAAAAGTGCTACCTCCAGTGTAACCATGGATACCAAGTCACAGGACTGTCAAGCATCACGTGTACCGTCATGGTTCAGTGGTCACAGAACGGTGTTTGTTCAGGTAGTTGTCGTCTAAGCTAATTAGTTATCAATGATTAAAAAGCAAAAGATTCGGGCTTTATATATAGGACAGGTATAAGACACGTGAACTATTAGTTCTAACTAGGTACCTTTGGAGATATCAACTTTCCCATTGAGACCATAATCCACATTGCTTCTCAACGAAAGCAGAATCATTTCTGTTAACTGCGCTGTGACTTTAGCGAAAAATATTGAGATATTGAAATTATGTTCTTTTTTAGATAAAACATTTTGGGAGCCGGACGTTTTCCCGAAAGACACTTGCCCGAATGCCGTTTGCCCGAAGGCCGATTTCCGAATGGACACTTCCCCGAATGCGACAAATGCCCGAATGGACACTTGCCCGAATGGGACAAATGCCCGAATGCCACTTGCCCGAAGGCCGTTTGCCCGAAAAATGTTAATATTAGATCAGGGGTCTCCAAACTTTTCAGTCCGAGGGCCGCATTTACTATCAAATTTCAGTTCGGGGGCCAGTTTCTTCCAGGCATGTCTTTGATTTTTCTGAGCAAACTTTCTCAGCAATCACCAACAAACGATTTTTCCTTGGACAAAAAGATCTCCGCGGGCCGGATGAGAGGATCTCGCGGGCCGCATCCGGCCCGCGGGCCGTAGTTTGGAGACCCCTGTATTAGATAATAAATAATATTTCCAAATAGACATTCTTTAATCAATTTAAGTTTGAAATTTTGATTATAAACACAATTCTAAGCATAAAAGTTGTTTGTATTTTTAAATTTAGCTTTTATTTTTTTTTTTCAAAACTGAGAAAGTGCAGTAAGTATAACTTTATTCTTTAATAAATGTAAGGTCATGTTGGCGGCGGTGTTCTAACATTCTTTTCATGAATGTTTTGAATACCTTGTTTAGCCGACATGTTGCGGTGGTTATATAGCTTATATGACACGGCGTAGGCGGCGCGGCGTCTCGCAACATTGAACAGGAGCGCGTTTGTTTGTTTATCTTATTATGCTTGACTTGTTTGGTGATCATTTAACAAAAGAATAGTAATTATATTTAAGAGGTATTTATAATTTTACACAGAATAATTAACGGAATTATTTAAGTTTTTTAATCAGTGTGTGCATTTAATATGGTTTTGTGTTGACTAATAATAATTTGGTTTTAATTTTTCTTATTGGTATTGCTACCCTATGTAATTTTAAATGTGTCGGATTTTTAGCTATTTAGTTATTTCTTTACTTTGTCAGTAATATCATGCAACGTGTAGTAAAGCACATTGCGTTTTGAAAAATAACTCTTTTATAAAATGTATTTCTCAAACAATTATAACATTTAAAATATATATGCCTAAAGTTCACGTGTAACGGGTACCGATGGCTAGTATAACATCTTCCACGCCAAGAAATCTAGAGAATATCTTATGATCCGGATACTAACACCAGCATTATTACACCTTCCTCAAGGCCCACGTTTACTCTAGGGCTGTCCCAGAAGTCTAACATCATTTATCTAATGCACACAAATCCCGTGACAGTTTTTAAAATGATCAACCGATTTCTTTGAGAAAGTGCATACACCAACCTCCAAAAACGTCACTAACTGAGAAACAATAGAAAAAAAATCGCCCTCCAAATGTAATGTTCGTTACGTGTAGATTCAAATAGAATATTATTTATTACTAAACAATTTATATAATTTTCTCATAAAGCAACACATTGAATGAATATTCCGCCTGTATATCCCCCCCCCCCCCACCCCACCACCCCTTCAGAAAACATCTTAATTACCCACACTGTTGTATAAGAGTATACGAGAAAACTTAGCTGAGCTCTTTCCAGCTTCATTAACTGTTTGGGTAAAAAATTAAGCCTTTAAATAAATTATCATTAACTAAGAAACATGACCCTATACAAACAAACAACCACGAAATTGTTATTTTTCGTCTTTATAAGTAATATATTTTATTTGACAAAAATACACAAAGCAATCTTGTACCATTTATTTTCAGCCATTTAATACAATGGATTATTAAAAATATCAAATCTAACCAAATAATATATTTCTGAAGTGCATCTTTTGTGATAGATAACTAAGTTGAAAACTAATACGCCAATTAAGTTTTTAAATACATGATAATTTATTTCGATGATTGATTAATAAACAGTTTTCGCTGTTATTAAATAACTAGTAACTGCTTTTAAGAAATATTAAATAAGATTTACAAATCTTAAAATAAAAATAATATGGACTAGTAGGTCTATTTGATGTACCAATCTATAATATTATTTTAACATAGAAATAAAATGCAACTTCTAACCAATATATCATTGCAATTGCTTTTACTAGTGCCCCTTAAATCTGAATAAATATGTAAATATTTGCAAACAGAATATTGTGATAAATGATTAAAATATACGTTTAATATTGTGCTATTTTAAAAAAAAAATTTTTTTTATCATCATGCTATTTTTAAAGAATTAATAATATTTAAAAATCTGATATTATTAGAATATAAAATTTAAAATGATATTATAAGTCAGTATTGAGAATTAAACAAAAAGCTAGGCCACATGTCATAAAATTACAGTAAAGTTCATAACGATTGCTGGTCTAAGTTCAATATGGTTTGTTGCAGATTATGTTTTTTAACTAAAGCTACACAAGGTAATACAATAACACATACAATTTGTTATTGCGCTTGTGGCAAACATTTTGTTTTAACCTGTTAAGATTTCAGAACATTTTATTTCGCGGAAAGCAAAGATTTTAATTTCACGAATTGAATCCTTTTATATAGCTATCTTACAGTAGGTTATCTTGAGAGTTTTAATCATTTTCTTTTAAACCTTCAGTAGTTGAATCTATATAGCTTTTGTCAGTCAACATTCTTGTATCCGTATTTTCTAAACCGACTGTCGAGACATAAATGTCACCCAAAATTGTGGTATTTTCTAAACCGACTGTCGAGTCATATATGTCACCCAAAATTGTGGTATTTTCTAAACCGTCTGTTGAGACATACATTTCACCCAAAATAGTGGTATTTTCTAAACCGACTGTCGAGTCATAAATGTCACCCAAAATTGTGGTATTTTCTAAATCGACTTTGGAGTCATACATTTCACCCAAAATAGTGGTATTTTCTGAACCGACTGTCGAGACATACGTTTCACCCAAAAAAGTGGTATTCTCCAATCCGAGTTTAGAATCAACAATATGATCTATAAACAAAGTGTTGTTGTCTTCTCCGATAGCAGATTCATACAAATGTTTGGTTGTAATCATTTCAAGATCTTCTCTGGCCTTAAGAGCAGGAATGTGATCTAAATCAAATTTCTCCTCCTCAACAGTTGTTACAGTCACATGACTGAAGCTACTGGTAGTTTCACTCATTTTACTTGCTGTGGTCATCGTTTGTACCCATTCATCAAAATCACTGAAATTTTCCTGCAAATGTGCAGGGTTTCCTTTAATTTCTTCATACATGTCCTTATTATTCGTAGTTTCATGGCTCGTATTGCTTAACATGTTGATTTCTGCTGTTTTGTTTTCCTCTTGTGCGAACAGCTTACCTTTACTCTCATTTTCGGACAGTAAGTTGAAATCTGAAACTAAATTGGAAATTTTTTTTTAATATTGAAAATAAAAGGTTTAAACCATCTAAATTAATGTTAATAGCCATCAAACCATTTGAATATACGAAAATATTATTTCAAATAATCCATACGCAATGTCGTATAGGTGGGGATATGACTGCTAACCAAAAAGCCTCTAGTTCTGGCTCGAGTCAGTTTGAGGTCCTGAAACCCACCCAACTCACATGGGTACCTGACTTCCGTAAAGGCGACTGGCCAAAGTGCTGACCACATTATCTTTTCATTTACCGAAGTAACAGCAACAGATGATCTTTACTTCATCTGCACAATAGACCACCAAGTTCGTAAGGGAATTTTAAATTTTAGTTTAAAAAATAATAATATCAAATTGTTGTCCAGTAGTAGATAAAATGTGCATTCATACGATATTACGGGGGAAAAGATTTAAGCTACCGCAGCTGACGGAACTGCAATCTATCGTTTCATCTTGCTCTCCAAGACAGAAGTCACCGCCATTGTCTGGGGGTGGACTGTCACATGACCGTGTTCTTCTTCTTAAACCTTGACCACACGTGACGTCACAGGCCGACCACGGACCCCACTTGGACCATGCACCATTGACAGCCGCTAGTATCAACATCAGAAAATTATGTTGCGTAATATAAAAATAAATAAAAAACAACAAACATGCATTTTGAAAACAAAAGCTAAGGACACATCAAATGTCACTTATATCATGACCAGCCTCGATCTTAGCTGAGTGTAAGCAATAACTAACTCAAGCAATTGATCCCAGCTTTTGTTTGTTATGTCTCACGTTACTAAAATGTTACGCTCCTTTCACTAAGGTTCAGGGTGTAACAATAGCAAAAACATTTGATGGTACTAAAAAACTTTTCCTGTGCTGATTATATAACCTAGACATAAGTTGAGACATAAACAGATAAAAGCGTAGTTCGTGTTACTCAACCACGGTTTATATATTTTTAAAAACTACAGACGCCGAATTACGTGATTTATTCATATATATACCTTTAAAAAGACAGAAAGTTTTGTACATTGAATTGCAAATAGCTATTTTATACAATATTTTTTATAACCATATTCTTTCTAAAAGTAAAATTTGAAAGATGAAATAAATATGTGTAGGAAACTGTATTATAGAGTAATATTATGTCCGCTACTTAAGAACAATTATTTCATTGGGATTGGAAAATGAGTTTTCTTAGTGACAAGAGACAGTGGCGTAGGCAAGAGGGGTGGGGGTTATAACACCCCTTCTGTAAAACATGTTTGTCATAATACCACTGTTACTTATTTAAATCTATTTCTGAATCAGTATATATGCATAATTGTATATGTATGTTTAGAACAGTCACCTAACAACTGACGCTAAGTTCACTCAGAGTTGGTTATCCCCCCCCCTCCCCACCTCACTACTAGAACGGGACAGGTCGTAATTGTGTAGAGCGACATTAATGTCACACCTAGGTATAAGCTGGGTAAGATAATAGAACTAAAGTGACCGGACAGTGGTGAATGATGTTGACAACCCCCCACACACACACACACAACCCGAACTGATGTGTTAAGTACATTTGGGAAAACGCGTAATGAGGTACCAAAGTGCCATTCCGCCAGAATCATAGTTTTGAAACAGGGAAAACTCTGTGAATGTTGTTTTTGCAATTACCAGTAAAGAGGTGTGTGAGCAATACGGTGATCTAATCAATATCTTATAATTATATAATATAATATAATTATGTAATAAATGGTCTTTAAAGAACACAAAAAGCAGTAGCTATTTTAAATTTATGATCTGAACTGACCAATATTTTAGTTATATTTTGGGTATTATTCAGAATATTCTACCTACTAAATTTAGTTTTTCTATCAGATTTAAAAGCGTGGTTTTATACCAACTCATAATTCATTACCTTTCATTATGCTGTAATATTTTAGCATTTATAATGACAAAATATTTAATTCTGATTGTGGACAACATATTTTTGTAAAAACGTTTAAGCTCATATATTTCATAGGCTACATGAGTAATTATTGCTCTGCTTTGACATTTACAAATGTGTAGACATATGCATTTGAAGAGAGTGAATATTTCCTCTAGTTCGCCTTAGTTCTGTCTTTATTCTTTTTCTTCTTCGTTCTTAATCTTTAGAGTTGGAAGGGATCGAGCCTTATCTGCCAGAGGGTTTGAACTCGATAGTTTTTAATAACCATGAGCTTTTGCCGACTCGACCACTCAAACACAATTAAGGATACATGTCAACAGGTTATGTGCCATTGAAGCCATTAACTCCGATTTCAGCCTGCTTTTCTTTTTGAATTTGCTTCCATAGCCTTTGTCTAACCAAGAGCAAACTACAAGGCAGCAGTTGTTTAATTTTGGAGTTGTCTCTCCTAGAAGAGTGGCTGTCCTCAGCTAACTAGCCTCATCTGCCCGAGGGTTCGAACTCGAGACTTTTCGGTTTAGCAACCATGAGCTTTACCGACTTGACCATGCCAAGTCTTAATTAATATTCAAGGAATCATTATGTCAATTTTTTAACAATGATTATAAAACAGATTGTGTTGCGTTCATTGTTTTTTGTTGTATAGTGTGTATAATTTTTTTTTTGTTTTGTTTAGAGTGGTAAATTTGTTTTGTTATGTCGGCCTACATTGTGTATGTTTTCTTATTTCTTCAGAGAACTATTTTCAATTTATTTTACATCATAGCGAAGGAATGACATACACCTAGTATATATATATATATATATATATATATATATATATATATATATATATATATATATATATATATATATATATATATATATCTCAATCAATTTATGTTTTAATCAATATATATATATATATATATATATATATATATATATATATATATATATATATATATATATATATATATATATATAAGTGGGATCCCAGTCTTTTAATGTCCACGGGCCCCCCGGCTGATCTGTTGCGCCACAGCTTTAAACTTATCATTTCGCTTATATTATATTATTTAGCTTACAGAAAATGACGTAACATACTAGTGTGTGACAATACCATTATACAGGTACTGATATCACATACACGCATCTAACAATACAGTAATAAGTGCTGACGTCACAAGTGTAACAATACCGTAACAAGTGCTGACGTGGAACTCAGTGGTCGAGTTGGCAGCTAGGATGTTGTTATCCACCTCAGCCAGACACGAACTTGCGAACTCCAACATTTGCAGCTCTGTGTACTCTGTTAACGTCATTTGTACACCACTGGCCAACAGATCTGCAGATTGGAACATAAACTGTTAGACATCAAACCACATTCACAGTACTCGAAACAATATACATAATTATGTAAGAGTCAAGCATTAACAGTATACATTTATATAAGTAGCACACGGCCTTTAAAGATGTTGCAAAAAAAAAACCCCAGTATGTATAGAGCAATAAATATCAAGTTAAAATTTTTTTTTAAATGAAAGATAAAATAAAACCATGCAAATAACTGTTCAAATATTGCTTTCGTTAGAATGGGATCTACTTATATTTTATTTATCTTACAATATCTTCTACACGTGAATACAAAAGTGGTACATATTGATAACGACATCAATATAAATGTTATCGGCTCAGCTTTTAAGTTACACAACTCTAGCTGTCGATTAGCACTATAGAACTTTTTTCCATAAGTGTGAAGTAAAAACATACAAGTAATGTCCCCTGAACTGGTGAAGCGGATAGTTTTTCTCCTCAAATCTCCGAATTCCTGGTGCAGCCAGCTGCGAACGTGTCCGTTTTCGTAAACTTTTAACGTCCCATTGTTATACACTAAACCAACATGCGTCCAGTCTCTAAAATATGGACAAAGTTGCTCTAAATTAATTTAATTCTATATTAAAGCGGTGTTTCTACAAATGAATATATTAATAAATTAATTATAGTCTTTAAATAAATTAGTATATAACATTTATGGTAAAAATGAACATTATTCTCTAAATAAATAAAAAAATTTACAGTTCTACACGTTGTGCAGATGATCTAATCTAGCGCAACCGTCAAAGAAAAAAATAAGAAAAAATAAATATACAAACTTCTGAATTTTAGTAAAATATAGATAATATAGTTAAAACTACACACATTATTGCCAATGCATTTTGAATGTATTTAATTTAAAAGGCAAATGAGATATGTGACATAATTAAAGAAATCTAAAGAAATACAAATGTGGTTATTAAGTCTACAATACGACGTGTGTATTTAAATCAAAGCACATCAAAACGTTAACAAGTACTAATATACAATTTGACAGTAAAAATTACTGAATGTTTTTAAAAAATTGGAAATCTAAAATCTGAACACTGAGGTCCAGACCACACACTAGGAGTGGTCAGTAGACTAAACTATCTCTTTTATTCAAAATAGACTTTGTTTTAGATCTTTAGTATGTACCTTGTTTGATTGGTGACGTCAGTGTACAGACAGATGGTCACGTGACCCAGCACCAGACCAGCACAGCTCGTGTTGACCGTGGAATGTTCCAGAGACAACCTCAGCCTTGTGACGTTGTTTGTGACGTCAGCGGATAGCCAGGTCATGAAGGTGAAAGTGACAGGTGATTCGTCCTGGACCTGCATAACTGGACCTGGGCTGTTCTCGTCTAGTCTGACGGCAGCGACTGGACGGAATAATATTATTTCAATCATTTCAACGAAATCATCTTGTTGTTATTTTACTATAAGATTATAGTTTATAATTTTGTATAATAACAAACGAAATAGTATGACTTAAATGCAAAAGAAATATTATATTATTAGAATACAAATGTTTCTATCAGTGAAATAGTTTTTTTTTTGTTTGGAAAGAATACTCAAGCGCCAACTATTCAATAATTCGATTTTATTTATCGCTAACGTATCTGCTGAAACCCAACATGCACTTTGAAGTAACAATCCATCCATTTGCATGAAAAACATACAAAAAAAGACAACGCAATGAGATAAAACTAACAAACAAGATAAAATACATTCGTTAAAAACATTGAGCAATAACAAACACAGAATAAGAATACAAACATCGACAATCGTATGCGGAGGTCGTTCCTGTCTGAGGTGTGGACATTCCGAAAGGGCAAAGGTCACACACGTGCATGCCACGCTCTGATTGGTAGGTTCCAGCCGGACATTTCTGGCATGGCGTCATCCCCGTGTCTGAGTAGTGACCAGCAGGACAGTGTCCTGTTTAGGACATAAAACAGATAAACAGTCTTCTGTGTAGTATAAACTTTGTGGACAGGGATTGCGAAAGAAGAATTTTTGTTTTAGTAAATTTATGCTTTATTCAAGTTCTGTTTCTTTAATCAAGGTGTACTTCAAAACGCACAAACTAAATTTATAAGAGCCACCTGTATCAATATACTAAATGAAACTAACCTTGACATTGCTTGAGACTGACTGACCCCATGTAGACTGTCGTTGTACCTGTAGGACACGGCTTGCAGGTGAACCCAATGTCCTGGTCCTGATAGGTGTCTTTAGGACATTCCCTGCATTTGTCTGTCTTTGTGTCGTAGATGTAGCCTTGGCCACAGCTAACTGATGACGTGTTATGTTATGGAAAAAATACAAATACAGAAAGTAAATAAATAACCTAATATATAACAGACCATGTGCGCACATCTCTCTCTCTCTCTCTCTGTCCGAAAAATATTTTCGCCGGACATCACATCAGAATCTTCAGCGATATATAGAGAACTTGATACGGACTTTTGTTGAAAACAATATGGTAGATGGTTTAAATGTATAACCAACATTTTATTTAAAGAAGAAAAATAAAAAATAAAGGCGTATTCGAATGTAGAAAAACAGTTTTAATTATGCAACAGAAAAAGCGTTTATGGTTGTGAAAAAGAACCATGACGTCACTGATGTTTATACATTAACTAATGACGTCATCTGTCGAGTTTAGAATAAAAAGAAATGAACTATTTCATCCAAATTTGATTTAGATCTAGATCTACGTACGCTATAAAATGTATACAATACAATTCCGGCCTAAACTTATAAAATTTATTTTATCTATTTGGATTCTAGATCTAGAGATTCTAGATCTAGATCTAAATCTACGCAAAAACTATACGTAGAAGCTAAGTCGCTAAGATTTAGATTTAGACTCGGATGATTATAGAGACCGTTGTCCGATAATGGAATCTTCTTTTAAAAAAAGGGGTGTTGGGTTGTTAGTAGTATTGTAATCTCGACTAATTTTATGGTTAAAATTAGGGTTAGGCGTATGGTAGGACCAGGGTTGGGATTAGGGACGGGGTTAGCATTGACATTAGCCAGCCAAGTGTGTATTTAGTTAACTACCAGTAACCTGACACCCTTTTTTTAAAAGACGATTCCATTATCGGACACCGGTGTAAACATATTTTATAGAAATCTTTGTTTGTTTAACTATGGAACTTGCTAATTTGGGATAAAAAAAATTAATTTGAAAGAACAGGCATATTCGCGTAAGTTTAACTTTTTTAATGTGTTTCATTCTCCATATTTTTTAAGGTGCCTAAATAGCTGAGATGATAGTGTACTTAATACCACGCAGGTGTTGCGGGGTCGAGAAATACCAAGTCGAACTTATTTTTTTTTTTATATGTGAATCTTCCGATTTTAGACTATAAAGAAAGGAACTACTTCATTCAAATTTGATCTAGATCTATAGATCTACTCATCAAGACGTACGCTATGAAATATATACACTTTTATCGGTCAAACTAATACAAATTACTTAAAAACAATATAATGACCATTGAATAGCCAGATTTTAACGGAATCATTTAAATCACTTAATCCGTGTGTGCCTGTGTTATGTTAAATGTGTCGGATTTTTAGCTAATTAGTTATTTCTTTGGTTTGTCAGTAATATCGTTCAGCGTGTAGTAAAGCACATTGGGTTTTGACCACTAACTATTTCATAAATTATTTTTCTCAAACAAGTACAACATTTTAAAATTAAAATATATAGGCCGATAATCCACGTGAAACGGGTACTGATGGCTAGTTACTTTAAAAAATAGAACATAATGGAATCTGGTAGAAAAAAGAATTTCGCACAAAGTGAACGGCATATTATTTGTGTATAATTGTGCGGAATATTAATACTTAATAAATTCATATGCGCTTTTTGAGAAATCGGAAATAGCGTAGAGTACTACTATCAGTCACCGGAAATTATTCAAAATTTGATAGAAGGCAGAAAATTAGATCTTTGACGTATGTGTGAAATTTCGTTTATCTATCTGAAACAGTACTCAAGTAATAAGCTTTTGAAAAACCAGAAGTAGAATAAGTTCCCCTTCCTGTTACCTAAAATTGCTTCAGTGTTGATAAAAAACTATAAACTTTTGATATAATAATTATATATGAAATTTCATCAACCTACCTGTAATGGTACTCAAGTTATCGTGTTAATAGACACAGACACACATACCAACGCACAGACATACTGACAAAATTGCAAAACTATTTTTTGCACGATTACAATACTTCTTCAATACTTCGTATACAAGAAAGTAAAAACGACTACATGCAAATAAATAAAGCACTCAACAAATACAAAGACAAGTTGTTTTGTCTGATCAATTTTTTTGTCGCGATGCGTACATATTTCAAATTTTAGGCTAGGCACTTCTTATCATTTAATGTTCAGTGTAAAGTGAGAAAAAACATAAACTAAATAAATAGTGTGTACAAGTCTTAGCTCAAGCCATAGGAGGTTTACAGAGTTCTTTCAGGCATCTCTTCGCCCAACCCCTCCCCAACCCGAAAGAAATATAACATAATATATTTCATATAAAAAAAAAATGAATATAGCATATATACTTTAATCGCCCATATCCTCATGCGTCCCTTGAAAGCTATAATTGCCACCCCCCCCCCCTTGTTAAAAATGTCTTAAAGAATCACTGACGGTTTATATAATCCTAATTACCACATGCCCAGCTGTCCGCCATCAGTCTAGTGCCAGGCTCACATCTTAACTCTAGTCGTCCATTTTCAAATTCGCTGACCGAGCCGACCCCTAGAAGGTCTAGGTTACCGGAAGTGGACATGTTTGCCAGCTGCTCATTGATAGACTCCACGATAACGCTGTAGGAAGTTTTTACCTGGTTGAAGTCAGGCTGCTCACGATCCATTTCGATCGCGATCACTGGCGTTATCTGATGGAAGAATAATTTGATTGGAATTTAAATGATGAAAAAACCCGGAGTAAGCTTTCTTAAACCTTCTCGTATATCCATTTACTACTAAATCCCACTATTGTTTAAAAATTTGTAAAAAAAAATATTGTTTGACGTCGGTTCTTTGCTATTTGTTCATTTATTCATAATGTTTTAAACACAATAAACCGATATACTAGATTTAATAGGCCGGGGAAAAGTATTATCAAGTGTCTGTATCAAGGCCAAACGAAATATAATTAGTTAAAAAAGTATAAAGACGCTTTAAATACAGGGGCCTAACTAAACATACCGCCAGACCCCGCAATACGATCTTGTATATCATTGTTTCCCCTTTGTTTTTAAACCAATGTGAAAGCCTAGTTCTCTTTCTATTACGAAGATCTTTTTGTCCACGGAATAAATGTTTGTTAGAGATGGCTGAGGAAATTTGTCCAGAAAATTCAAAACAATTTGAAAATTTAGCTTTGCAAATACCATTGCCCGCCGTGTTGCAAACATCGGTGAAAACATCGTTACTCAAATAGCGAAAAATGCAAGCAAGTTTTGCTATTTTTCAATTGCAATGGATGAGTCACTGGACAGCTGTTCCACCTCAACACCTTGTGTTCATTAGAGGTGTGGATGAAGACATAAATATAACACAAGAGCTGGCTTCCCTACATAGAATGAATGGCACTGTTACCGGAGAGGATATCTTACCATAGATAGTTCAGAGACATGTCGATAGATATAAACACAGGATCGCAAGATTTACCCTTTTACACAACAGTAAGATGGCTAATTTGCAAGAAAGATCTGAGCTGAGTATTTAAGTTAAGAAAGGAAATAGGTAACTTCCTGGAAAGTAAAGGTAAGCCACAGCCATTAACGTCTGATGAAGAGTGGATTTAGAAATTGGCCTCTGCTGCAAACATAACTAGTCATTTACATTTTCTTAACCTAAAACTACAAGAGAGGTAAATCTAGGTTCTGATCTATACACCCACCTAAAGGCCTTCAGATCCAAACATTTCATGTTTTTGGAACAAGTACAAGCCAACAACTTGACGCACTCTCAGTTGTGCAAGGTCTTATCACGGCTGAAGCAACCACCGAGTTACCCTCGTCATTTGCATGCAAGATCTTCAAAGTCTCCCCGCTGCAGTTTCAGTGGCGGTTTTCTGACTTTGATTCAGGCAGAAGAAGTGAGAGACTGTTCCAAAACCCATTTGAAGTTAATGTGGACAGTTAAAAGATAAACTGCAGCTGGAGGTCATTAGAGACACGTTCAAAGAAGGGCGGGTGGGTTTGTATAAGTTTTTGCACAAGGAAGACTTTCCTAATATTAAAACTTTTGCAACAAATTACCTTTCAAGTTTTGGAACAAGATACATGTGTGAACAAACATTTGAAAGAATGAAATACGTGAAGAACAATTTGAGAGAAAACTTGGACCTCGAGTGTTGTTGGTAATCGACAGTGTTTCTTTCATACTTTTTTCTCTCGTGGGGGGGGGGGGGGGGGGACTTGAAATTTGTATATATTTCTATATAAATTATATTTCGTTGGGGGTAGAGGCGGTTGACGTTTTTCGGGGGGGGGGGGGGGGAGGGGGGGGGTCGCAACTACCCGAAGAGATGTCTTGAAGAAACTCTAGCCCCTGAATTTATATGTGATAGTTTATGCGGCCCTCGGGCTGAAAAGTTTGGAGACCCCTGATTTAGAGTATAATGTTCTTCTTTTTCCTAAATGTAATACACAAATTTATTGGAAAACGATTAATCTAGAACAAATACTTTATTTACTTATTTTTACATTTAACATGGTGGCTTCCATGAATGACCCTGTTACCCATAAAGAGTTTTACGCATTGTAAAGCTAAATTTTCTTTCGTCTATAGCTGTAACGATACGCTTTTTGCTAATTTTATTAGGTTCCAACACCAGATCTACCGATAAACTAGATTTAAGCAAGAGTAAACATGACGAAACCAAAATGTATTGGTTACAACTGAAAAACAAGTATTAGAACACAATAAATATTTGAGGTTTTTTTTTAATTAAACTTTTATAGTCGTTAAATATTTGATATAAATCTTTGTTTTTTTAGCAATGGAATTGGTAAAATTAGGATATAATTTAATTCAAAATAATTTTTGGTTTGATTTTACTTTCTTACGAGCCTAAGTATAATAACTCCATTTATTTTCTATAAACATGTATCTGGTGACATGACAAAGTCGACAGCATGTTTGACACTTTTGAAAACAAGTTGAGGATTCGAAACCCATGTAGTCATTGTATGTTTTACCTTTTTATACTTAACTATTTCTGTGCTTGACTAAGTAAGCATATTTCATTTTCACATTAGTTAGTTACTAAAATATGTTGAAAAGTGTTTTAACTGATCAGTTTCTCATTTTTCAGTTTAGAAGGCTACATGGTTAACACAGTAATGGATGAAAGGGGAGTCGGGGCTGAGAGGGCTTCAGCTTTGATTTTCAGAGGCCCCAAACTTTACTGCTTAATTGTTGGTTTTCACTTTAAAACAACAGATTTAGTGTTTAAATCACAATCTTTTTTTCAAAATATCAAACACGTGCAATTATTTAAGTATACATATGTGAGCGGCTGGAGTGTGTAATTATTATCCTAAAATATATAAAAGATCATATGCGCACTTCTCTCTCTATCTCTCTGTCCGCAAATATTTTCGCCGGACATCACATCAGAATCTTCAGCGATATATGGATACCTTTATACGTACTTTTGTTGAAACAAATATGGTAGATGTTTTAAATGTATAACCAATATTTTATTTGAAAAAAAAATAAAGGCATATTCGAATGTAGAAAAACAGTTTTAATTATGCAACAGGAAAAAGTGTTTAAAGTTGTGAAAAAGAACCCATGAAACAATGACGTCACTAATGTTTATAGATTAACTAATGACGTCATCTGCCGAGTTTAGAATAAAAAGAAATGAACTATTTTCATTCAAACTTGATTTAGATCTACGTCAGTGGCGGAAGGGGTGGGGAGGGGAGCCCACGCCATTTAGGGGCCCATTGCCGATAATAATTTTTTTATAGTTAAAAAAATAAGTTTCGAGCATTTTTTACTTGCTGGTTGTTTTGTAAAAAGATTACCGAAGCTGCAGTTGGATTATCTTTATTCTATGCCACCCTATGTTCTTGTATATTATTTTTCCCTTTGTTTTTAAACCACCGTGAAAGCCGAGTCCTCTTTCTTCTACAATCAAACTTATCAAAGATAAGCAAACGTTCAAACCACTTTCATGACTTATTTCCCTTTTATAAATAGTCAAATAGGGGTGCTCATAAGCTCCTTTAAATAGATTTGTACTAAACAAATTAAAAAACAATTATTTTTCTTAATTATTATTTTTGTATAAAGTACTTACTAGAGAATGACATTGTATAAACAGGCAATGAATTTAAAATTAATAACATAAATTAAAAAAAAAAAAACTAAAAATAAAAAGAACACGAGACACCATTAACTTATACAAAGCTTTCATGTTTTATATTCTTTTGACCGAATAGACGTTGAAAGGTATTATAGCTGAGATAAAATAAAACTGATTTTCCACAAAACACACTGATGCACTTACACACATGACATGATGTTGTAATTAGTTTTTAATTGAAATTCTTTTTTTTTCAAAACCCGAACAGGCCAGCTATGAGTATCCTATGTTCGTATTTTGTGTTTGTGTACACACACACACACACACACACACACACACACACACACACACACACACACACACACACACACACACACACACACACACACACACACACACACACACACACACACACACACACACACACACACACACACACACACACACACACACACACACACACACACACACACACACACACACACACACACACACACACACACACACACACACACACACACACACACACACACACACACACACACACACACACACACACACACACACACACACACACACACACACACACACACACACACACACACACACACACACACACACACACACACACACACACACACACACACACACACACACACACACACACACACACACACACACACACACACACACACACACACACACACACACACACACACACACACACACACACACACACACACACACACACACACACACACACACACACACACACACACACACACACACACACACACACACACACACACACACACACACACACACACACACACACACACACACACACACACACACACACACACACACACACACACACACACACACACACACACACACACACACACACACACACACACACACACACACACACACACACACACACACACACACACACACACACACACACACACACACACACACACACACACACACACACACACACACACACACACACACACACACACACACACACACACACACACACACACACACACACACACACACACACACACACACACACACACACACACACACACACACACACACACACACACACACACACACACACACACACACACACACACACACACACACACACACACACACACACACACACACACACACACACACACACACACACACACACACACACACACACACACACACACACACACACACACACACACACACACACACACACACACACACACACACACACACACACACACACACACACACACACACACACACACACACACACACACACACACACACACACACACACACACACACACACACACACACACACACACACACACACACACACACACACACACACACACACACACACACACACACACACACACACACACACACACACACACACACACACACACACACACACACACACACACACACACACACACACACACACACACACACACACACACACACACACACACACACACACACACACACACACACACACACACACACACACACACACACACACACACACACACACACACACACACACACACACACACACACACACACACACACACACACACACACACACACACACACACACACACACACACACACACACACACACACACACACACACACACACACACACACACACACACACACACACACACACACACACACACACACACACACACACACACACACACACACACACACACACACACACACACACACACACACACACACACACACACACACACACACACACACACACACACACACACACACACACACACACACACACACACACACACACACACACACACACACACACACACACACACACACACACACACACACACACACACACACACACACACACACACACACACACACACACACACACACACACACACACACACACACACACACACACACACACACACACACACACACACACACACACACACACACACACACACACACACACACACACACACACACACACACACACACACACACACACACACACACACACACACACACACACACACACACACACACACACACACACACACACACACACACACACACACACACACACACACACACACACACACACACACACACACACACACACACACACACACACACACACACACACACACACACACACACACACACACACACACACACACACACACACACACACACACACACACACACACACACACACACACACACACACACACACACACACACACACACACACACACACACACACACACACACACACACACACACACACACACACACACACACACACACACACACACACACACACACACACACACACACACACACACACACACACACACACACACACACACACACACACACACACACACACACACACACACACACACACACACACACACACACACACACACACACACACACACACACACACACACACACACACACACACACACACACACACACACACACACACACACACACACACACACACACACACACACACACACACACACACACACACACACACACACACACACACACACACACACACACACACACACACACACACACACACACACACACACACACACACACACACACACACACACACACACACAACTGATCTACGTACGCTGTGAAATGTATAAAATACAATTTTTTCTGACCTAGACTTATAACATTTATTTTATGTATTTGGATTCTAGATTCTAGAGATTCTAGATCTAGACAAGATCAAATCTACGCAAAAACTAGACATAGACGTTAAGTTGCTAAGATCTAGATTTAGACTATCTACTCTAGAATCTATTCCAAAAATATCTCTTTATTGTGCCTAAATAGCTGAGATGTTAGTGTACTTAATACCACGCTGATGGTGCGGGATTGAGACATACTAAGTCAAACTTAATTATTTTTTTATATGTGAATCTTCTGATTTTAGGCTATAAAGAAAGTATCTACTTCATTCAAATTTGATTTAGATCTAGATCTATAGATCTACTCATCAAGACATACGCTATGAAATATATACAATTTTATCGGTTAAACTAATACAAATTACTGAAAACAACATATTGACCATTGAATAGCCAGATTTTTAATGGAATCATTTAAGTCACTTAATCAGTGTGTGCCTGTGTAATGTTAAATGTGTCGGATTTTTAGCCAATTAGTTACTTCTTTGCTTTGTCACCAATATCGTTCAGCGTGTAGTAAAGCACATTGGGTTTTGACCAATAACTATTTCATACATTATTTTTCTCAAACAAGTACAACATTTTAAAATATATAGGCCTATAATTCACGTGAAACGGGTACCGATGGCTAGTTATTTGTAACTTAGAAGGCGAATGTATCGTTTCGTTTCATGTCGTAAACTGTTTGTACTTTTTAGTTGTGTAGTCCCGTATTATGGCGCCCCTGTGTTACTGTTTATGTCCCTGTCTATGGCTAGTTTGTATATATTGTCACTTTTTATACTAAGTGTCCTTTTGTATAATTCTGTTGTATGTTTCGTGGCGTGTTGTTTTTTATCTGTGAATTAGGGACTATTTGTTTACGTGTAGTGTGTGAGGTGTGTGAAAGTCGGTTTCCGGCATGATGTTCGCTTCACTTTGGTATGTCGAGTGGATGAGGTAAGGAAGCATATCCTGGATCATCAGAGACATCCAAGTCAGGAAAACGTCCATCGTGCTGTTGTGTTAAGTGAATTTGTTCCTAATAGCCTGGTAAGCTAGATACCTTATTTATGTTATGCTTTTCTTATGATTGTTGGCCATGAGCTAGCGTTTTCTGTGGCTGTTTAGTTTCTGATCGCCATGGTGATTTTGCCAGACCATGTGGAAACAGACAGATTATGTCTAGGTTGGACTGTCTATTTTTTATGTTGATGTTTAATATTTGATTTTTTACTTAGTTGTATCCTTTGGGCTTGTGTTAAGCCAGGGATAAAGTTGTTTAGACTTGACCCACAGTTATGGTTTACTCCTGGCTGTTGGTTAAGTTGTTCAGATATTTTATTAGTTGTATCCCCTGGGCTTGTGTTAAGTCAGGGATAAGGTTCAATGTTGCCTGACCCACAGCTACTGTTCATTCCTGACTGTCGGGTTTGGTTGTGTTACTACGTGTAATGTTTTACATATTTTTATATGCCATTATGGTGGACTTTCACTTCCTGTGGTGATCTTTGTTGATCCCCAGGAGAGTGTTTGGTTTATGCTAAGCTCTATGGATGGGCAGAGGAAATTAAGAGATATATACAATTTGATGTTTTGTAAGCCTTGTGTCTAAGGCTGATAATTGTAGAAAGTTGAGATTTAGTACTGTCAGCCTTCAATTCAAAGGCTTAATTTGTACAATGTCGATTTCATTAGGGTGTCATTTTAATGCCTTGTATATAACTTTTTTCCCATTTTAATTAATTTGTCCATTTTTTTCTTTTTCTAGGACGTAGTCCGAAATTGGGTGTTTTGTCTTGTTTTGTTTTGTTTAGTCGTGTTTGGTGTATATTGTTTTGTATATCTTTTGTCAGTTAAAGTGCTGCTCTGTTTTGTATATTTTTGGCCTAGTTGTTTGGCCTGGGATTGATGTATATCTTGTTTTTATTTACATTCTTTTTTTGGTTCCAATTTAATTCATGCAATAAATTCTGTATAAACTGTTAAAAGTTTTTTTGTGTTTATTCTAGACTAAGGTTAGGTTATTAACCTGTCTGGGTTTAGCCGGACTTGCACTGACCGGACAGTAGTTAGATAAGCCTAGAAAGGTAGATTTTAGTTATCCCCCCTAGTAGGGATTACACATACGAGCTGTTATCTCATCCTACCCAGACATTCTTTATATAAAGGCAACTCAAGACAAATTATGTATTAAAAAAATACCTGGTAGACAAAAACAAATTCCCTCTTTGACCTTCGTCTTTTGGTCTGCCTGCCGCAAGTGACCTTGACCTCTCGAACGTCACACTTTCCTTCAGTTCCTACCAGCTGTAGACTTGACAAGGCCGTGATAAATTTTTCCCTGACCACGTTGACGTCACTACTGCAGTCTCCGCTGAAGTAGTAGAAGCTGGGGGTAGTCGTGATATCGTCCGGACGTCTTCGAGCTGTTGAAAATTGTGTAAATGTGTATACATTCTTTCAAACAATTGTTCAATTTTCAGTCAAAACAGTAACTTAAAAGGAACAAAAGCTTTACTTAGACACGTGAATTATTAAAATCTCAGTAGGACGTATCGAGAGTTGCCGCCTCGGGCGTCGACCCTATGGGGGGCGCCAAAAGGGGTAGAAAAAATTTTTTATTTTAAGCTGCAGGTTTGAAGTATACACAGTCAAAGATAAGAAATTTAAAGTTTATGAGCCTTTGTATACTGATTTAACAGTTTTCCACCTTAATTGTGTAACTGTTAAACATATACCTGAAAAAAAAGACAGTGAAAGGCAAAACAGTTTTTCAGCTTGAGCTAGATGGGGGGGGGGGGGGGGGGGGGGCGCTTTTTCGCGATTAAAATCGAACGGATTTACACTGGAAAAGAAACCAACTAGGTTACAAGACTAAAGCCTACATGAATACTAACCCAGACAGTTGGGGACAAAGTTTCCTGATGACATACATGAATACTAACCCAGACAGTTGGGGACAAAGTTTCCTGATGACATACATGAATACTTACCCAGACAGTTGGGGTTTCCTGATGACATACATGAATACTTACCCAGACAGTTGGGGACAAAGTTTTCTGATGACATACATGAATACTTACCCAGACAGTTGGGGACAAAGTTTCCTGATGACGTACATGAATACATACCCTGACAGTAGGGGACAAAGTTTCCTGATGACATACATGAATACTTACCCAGACAGTTGGGGACAAAGTTTCCTAATGACATACATGAATACTTACCCAGACAGTTGGGGACAAAGTTTCCTGATGACATACATGAATACTTACCCAGACAGTTGGGGACAAAGTTTCCTGATGACATACATGAATACTTACCCAGACAGTTGGGGACAAAGTTTCCTGATGACATACATGAATACTTACCCAGACAGTTGGGGACAAAGTTTCCTGATGACATACATGAATACTTACCCAGACAGTTGGGGACAAAGTTTCCTGATGACATACATGAATACTTACCCAGACAGTTGGGGACAAAGTTTCCTGATGACATACATGAATACTTACCCAGACAGTTGGGGACACAGTTTCCTGATGACATACATGAATACTTACCTAGACAGTTGGGGACAAAGTTTCCTGATGACATACATGAATACTTACCCAGACAGTTGGGGTTTCCTGATGAAATACATGAATACTTACCCAGACAGTTAGGGACAAAGTTTCCTGATGACATACACGAATACTTACCCAGACAGTTGGGGACAAAGTTTCCTGATGACATACATGAATACTTACCCAGACAGTTGGGGACAAAGTTTCCTGATGACATACATGAATACTTACCCAGACAGTTGGGGACACAGTTTCCTGATGACATACATGAATACTTACCTAGACAGTTGGGGACAAAGTTTCCTGATGACATACATGAATACTTACCCAGACAGTTGGGGTTGCCTTATAAATACATGAATACTTACCCAGACAGTTAGGGACAAAGTTTCCTGATGACATACACGAATACTTACCCAGACAGTTGGGGTTTCCTGATGACATACATGAATACTTACCCAGACAGTTGGGGTTTCCTGATGACATACATGAATACTTACCCAGACAGTTGGGGACAAAGTTTCCTGATGACATACATGAATACTTACCCAGACAGTTGGGGACAAAGTTTCCTGATGACATACATGAATACTTACCCAGACAGTTGGGGATAAAGTTTCCTGATGACATACATGAATACTTACCCAGACAGTTGGGGTTTCCTGATGACATACATGAATACTTACCCAGACGGGGACAAAGTTTCCTGGTGACATACATGAATACTTACCCAGACAGTTGGGGACAAAGTTTCCTGATGACATACATGAATACTTACCCAGACAGTTGGGGACAAAGTTTCCTGATGACATACATGAATACTTACCCAGACAGTTGGGGACAAAGTTTCCTGATGACATACATGAATACTTACCCAGACAGTTGGGGACAAAGTTTCCTGATGACATACATGAATACTTACCCAGACAGTTGGGGACAAAGTTTCCTGATGACATACATGAATACTTACCCAGACAGTTGGGGACACAGTTTCCTGATGACATACATGAATACTTACCTAGACAGTTGGGGACAAAGTTTCCTGATGACATACATGAATACTTACCCAGACAGTTGGGGACAAAGTTTCCTGATGACATACATGAATACTTACCCAGACAGTTGGGGACAAAGTTTCCTGATGACATACATGAATACTTACCCAGACAGTTGGGGACAAAGTTTCCTGATGACATACATGAATACTTACCCAGACAGTTGGGGACAAAGCTCCGGGGTGACCAGCTCTGACTTGACGACATACACATGTACGAGCTGGGTGCCGCCTCCTGGCGGACAAAGTTCTCGTTACACATGACCACACACACTCGGCTCGTGCCGTTGGTGACGTCACAGCTCAGGGCGCCGTTGTCTGGGGGTGGCAGGGGCTTGCAGGCTTTGGCTGAGTTAAATAGTTTAGGTTTTTGTTGAGTTGAGAGAATTTTTTTAGGTAAAAAGTTTTGCTTTGTTTTAGACAATTAGTCTGTAATTATTTTTTTAAATCGACATAAAAAATTCGTTGCTAATGTGAGTGGCTGGGGTGTTTGTCTAGCTGATGGTTATTATTATTAATATTAATTAATTAAGATAGAAGCGAATGTACCTTTTTGTTCCCCGTAGAAGCAAATAGTTATTTTTTATTAAGTAGTCAGCAATCATGGCGCAAGCCATTTTTTGTGTTTGGGTTGTTTAATGCTGGCCTGGTTATTTGTGTTTATTTTTTGTTCTTATTAAATTTAAAAGTTGTTTCTTTTTTGTATGGTCCTGCCTAATGTTTTGTTACGTATTGTTTGTTATCGTTAAAATATGGACTTTTCCTTGTGCGTATTGTGCGATGTGTGTTTACGTGGGCGGATAATGAAAAATTTGACAACATTTTGAGCGCAGCTGGAGGCAAAAAAGATTCTATGTGTGAGAGAGTTATGAGATTGTTCACGACGCTAAAGCAAAGAACATTTCTGTTTTATCTTTCTTTTTTGCTGATAATGCAGTAAGATTTTTTTAAAAAATATATACTTTTATTTTGTATGGTTTTTCTGGAATAGGCTGATTCTGTCCACGAAAGTGTAGACTTTGTCGAAAAGTCACAACTGTAGTCGTTTTAGAACATGTGATGATATGGTGGTCTGGTAGCCATCCAATTCTTGAAGAGTTATAATTTAATTTCAATTCACTTGAGCCTCAACTGGCTCAAAGAGTAATCATAAGGCCTTTCCTATAGATATTGATGTACATCTTATATAAAAAAAAAAAGACTTACCCCCACAATATGGCCGTGTGTTCTCCGACCAAGTCCACGTGACATTTCCGTTTGTTAAACTCGAACACCAAATCGACTTAGCACCCGTGACGTCACTGCCATCCTGACATGTCAGCTGACAGAAGGCGCCCAACACGTGACCACTGGGACAGTCGTAGACCATTAAACTGCTGACACTTTGGTCAATATGTGGGTCCTCACATGAAACGTCTGATGGAAGAAATTTAGCAGCGGAACAGGGAACATAGTGTAAGTCTACAATGTATTTTTATAATAAATAAATAAATAAATAAATAAATAAATAAATAAATAAATAAATAAATAAATAAATAAATAAATAAATAAATAAATAAATAAATAAATAAATAAATAAATAAATAAATAAATAAATAAATAAATAAATAAATAAATAAAAAAAAAAAATAAATAAATAAATAAATAAATAAATAAATAAATAAATAAATAAATAAATAAATAAATAAATAAATAAATAAATAAATAAATAAATAAATAAATAAATAAATAAATAAATAAATAAATAAATAAATAAATAAATAAATAAATAAATAAATAAATAAATAAATAAATAAATAAATAAATAAATAAATAAATAAATAAATAAATAAATAAATAAATAAATAAATAAATAAATAAATAAATAAATAAATAAATAAATAAATAAATAAATAAATAAATAAATAAATAAATAAATAAATAAATAAATAAATAAATAAATAAATAAATAAATAAATAAATAAATAAATAAATAAATAAATAAATAAATAAATAAATAAATAAATAAATAAATAAATAAATAAATAAATAAATAAATCTCATGTTTTTGTGCACGATTACAATATTTCCTCTATACTCTGTATACGAGAAAGTAAAAAAGAACACTATGCTTTACATAAATACGTTTTTTTACTTTCTCGTGTATACGAAGTATAGAGAAAGACTTGTAATCGTGCAAAAAAAAAAATTATCGAGATTTTTACAAATCTCGACGTTTTACACCTCACTGATACGGAAAAACATAACTTTGCAATCTTGTCCGTATGTCTGTGTGTGTGTGCGTGTGTAAACACGATAACTTGAGTACCGTTACAGCTAGGTTGATGAAATTTCATATATAAGTATTTTATCAAAATCGTATATCCGTATCAACTTTTGAGCGATTTCCAATAACCGGAAGTGGTACTTTTCCTACTTTGAATTTTTCAAAAGCCTATAACTTGATAACTATTTCAGATAGATAAATGAAATTTTACATGTAAGTTAAAGATCTAATTCTCTACCTTCTGTTAAATTTTGAGTAATTTCCGTTGACCGGAAGTACTAATTTACGCTACTTCCGATTTCTCAAAAAACTAATGTAAAATTTTAAAGTACTAATAATATTGCGCACTATTATGCGCTTTTTATTTTGCGTTCACATGGTGTGCAATTAATTTGTCTACGAGATTTTATTCTATTTTTAAAACTTTAAGTATTTAAAATGGATTTAAAATCATGTCTATAGCCTGAGTTCCCATCCCCTGTTATTTTTTATAAGAATATTCGAGAAAGTTTAGGGGAGATCACTCCCGGTTTATTTACAGTATTATACATACTTCAAATGCTCTGATTAATTAAGTGAAACAGACAACAACAAAAATAAATATACTAGCTTCTGACTTTTAGTAGTGTACTAGACTACCCGTTATCCTTGGATAACTGTGGGTCTCGGGGTTGATCCATAAATAACATCACGCCTGTCACTTAACATCACAAAAAAAAAACCCAGACCCCACATTAAAAAAGACGTCACACCTCAGACATTGTTTCTTTTAAAAACACATGTTTCGGCTGAGCATGGGTCTGACCACACTATCCCTTCATATGCTGAGGTCACAGAAACAGGTGAAGTCTACTACACCTGCACAGTGTGTGCGAGCATTTTTATACACGCCGTTTGTTTCATAAAGCAATTTGCGTTTGTATTTGTGTTTACGTTTGCGTGTTTTGTTTGTGTGTGTTTGTGTTTTTATTTGAGTTTGCGTTTGTGGTGTGTTGGGTTTTCTTTTGTGTTTGTATTTTCGTTTGTGCTTGTTTTTTATTTCCTTTTTTCCCTTTGTAGTTTGTGTTTGGTTTTGTTCTGTTCCCAAGTTGGTGCATTTAAAAAAAATTCACTAGTTGAAGCACGGGTATGCAGCTAGTGTATAATATTAGCCGCTTTGTCATCTCGCGCTTCCGTCAATCCGTCATCGATATAGACAATGTCTTTGTTTTTTGAGCTGGAAGAGAGTAGTCGCGCGTGGGGACCTTGGGCGAGGATGCCCGGGGAAGGATGTTGTCTGGTATAAGCTAGTATATATACAATAACACACACATACACATACACAGCCATATACATATATATATATATATATATATATATATATATATATATATATATATATATATATATATATATATATATATATAATCTTATATTGAATGAGTTGAAAACCTTACACGTGACATTGACGTGAAACGAACACGTGACACTGTTGTTGCTGACATCCACTGCTGTCAGTGTCACTAGGGTCACGCCGACCTGAAACCTTGACCCTGACTGTGGGTGTCCGGACACAAGGAACTGACCAGAGTTGTCCGACACACGAGGGAAGTTGTAGACCACACGTGTGTCTTCTCCCAGACTCGCAGCCTCTTTATGGATATCTCCATGGCAACCGTCAACAAAAACTGGCGGCTGTACGTCTATGAGATAATTTAAAAATGGGCAATCCTACATTTTTATAACCAGCATCAAACACTTAGGAAGACGAGGATAAAATGATTTTTCTAAAAATCTGAATTAATTTTTTACGTGTTTCACTTTACCTGCTATTCCTTTCTATTTTCTCTTTGTTCAATATTTCTCTGGTTGTTCCCCTTTAATAATCTTTAATTTGGGTTAAACTTAAATAAACATCATACGGGGTTTAAATGAAATTTAACTTGATAGATTTCCCTTTAACATTAAACAAAACTACTGCACTTGGCAACAAGTTTTACAAATACTTATAACTAGTTTTATTTACTTTTTAACAGTTAAATTTCTCTTTTTGCAAGACCGCCTAGGAAAATATGTTAAATGCGATACAACTTACCTATACAGAAACCACTCTCTGTCCAAGTTAAATCTTCAGTACAAGTGATGCTTTCTTTTCCATTAAGCGAGAACCCATCCTGACAGGTCAGGTAACAGACGTCTTGGAATCTGATGCCGTTAGGACAGTTGATTTGTCCATTAGAGACTTTCACAGGCGGAGTACAGTTCATCACTGTTGAAGATACAGATTACAATCGCGAGATACATACATTTTTGCTTTAAAGCTATTTTAAAAGCATCTTACGATCTGAACTCTAAAAACCAATTATTTACCCCGTACAAACGTAGATTGTAATCATTACGACTCACCCGAATGATTGTGCATTACTACTAATAATCTTGTTACATCTCATATTGTTAATTAAACCTTTTGAAATTAAATTTTAATGACTAATGTAAAATTGTATCGATACGAATTATGTATTCTTGGTCTGTTTTTGAAGACAAGTGTTCCTGGAAGGCCTCTAGGCTGCTAAGCTAGAATTGTGTCAACATTTTAGCACACGATTAGCTACTAACTGATAGTAGGACAGAGATACAGAGAAGAAATAAATATGTATAAGAACATATACTACACGACGTCCCGGCCAGGCCCTTTTGTGAAAAATCTATCAGTATAGGACCGTGGCTTAATTGTTTATTAAGTAACAAATACTGGGCGATGCACGGGTTTCGGAAATACGTAAATATTAAGTTTCCAATTAAAAGTTTATATGCATTTAGTTTGATAGAGTATTTATAACCTTAAACTTAAATTTTACCTTAACCAAACACAACATCAGCAGCAACAATAATAACCACTATCACAAACATGAAAAGAAACATCAACCTACACCCTAAGCCTAACCACAATCTAAACCTGGAACATAAACTTATTCACTCTACTTCATTCGCCTCCTATGTGTTGGGCATAAAAGAGAAAATATATTAATCATTTAAAAAATCTATACTTGTTTGAGAAATATACTTTATAATAGTAATTGGTCAAAATGCAACGTGCTTTACTAAAAGTCGAAAGATATTTGAAAACAAAGAAAAGAAAGAACTAAGTAGATACAATTTAATAGTCTGGAAAATTATCAAGATACTTTTTTTCTCTATACCGAAACCGGTATGTACTGATCAATCTAAATCTGAAGCGGAAATAAGAATCTGCCTGAAACACAAATTTTACAGGAATCGAAATTTAACCGAAAATAGAAGTATATCCGCAACAGCTATTTCTTGCGATAAAACCTGAAATAGAATTGTAACCATAAAAAGCAATTTTACCGGAAACAGAACTTTAATCGGAAACGGAAATTTATATGAAATGTAAATCTTAAATTTTTTCTTAACATGCATTTTACCTTGATCTTAAATTCAAAGTAGAGCAAAAATTTAGCGGAAATATTTTAACTGAATACGAAATTTAAAAAACGTAAACAAAAATTTATCAGGGCGCGGACATTTAACGGTAAGATCACTAGAGGCGGAAATTTAGCCGAAATGGGAACCTTATTACAAACGAAATTTAACCTCTAATTGAACTTTATTTGAAACCGGCATTTTAACCTTAAACGGATATTTAACCGGAAATAAAACTCTAATAATAAACCTAAGGTGTTTTTACTTTTGAATATGCCTTCATTTATTTTTTAGTCATTATATAAAAATAGTTTATACATTTAGTACATCCAACATATTAATTAAATAAAAGCCTATATCTTTAAGTTCTTCATATATTGCTGAATATACTGATCTCATAATCATAATCTCTCAATATGTGTCGGATAGAGAGAGAGAGAGAGAGAGAGAAAAAGAGAGAGAGAGAGAGAGAGAGAGAGAAGTGCGCACATGGTCTTTTATATATTAGGATTTCAATAGAATTAATATATGCTGGAAATTAAATAAAAAAATCAAATCTAAATAATGTAATGAAACATTTTCTATCAAGAACATCCTAAAATGAAACATCACAACACCCCACTATTGGGGAAATAACACAGGTAGGTTTTATAAAGAAACGGTAGAAACCAAGGCATTGCGATAGGGTGGGGGTGGGGGGTGGGGGTTGGTGACAACATTGCGTAAATTTACTAACTTCGGAGGAGACTATGGTATAATCGTTTGTATTGTACACATTGATGCCATTAGAAAAATGGGGAGGGGATGGTACCAATTGCAGCTTTCACAGAGAAAACCATTATCTAATCCAACAGATCAGCACATAATACACCGTCTACCGAAAAGGATTGGAGTGAAACCATATTGGAACTTAACAAAGCAACATATTTATCAACGCTAAATTCCTTATTAGACTTGCTATTATACAACAACCTCCGATTGACGAAGTATATGTATATGTACGTTTGCGTGTTTGTTTGTGTGTTTAAGAGGGTGTGTAAATTTAATTGTGCAGTTTGGTTAAAGAAATATTGCGTTATTTCAATACTCTTCTATTAGTTTGTACTAGTTTGTTATGTATGATTTGTTATTTGTTGAATGGGCTTGTTTACTATTCTTATTAAAACTTTTTATCTGATGCAATATATGTTTAGATAGTAAATAAAGTGGAGTTAATGGTAAATTGTTGGACGTAGTTTTTATTTTATCATTAATATCATTATACCTCTCTCAAAGTAATTAATTTTACTTAAGAGAATTGATACCACTTCTCATCTTTGTATATCTTTGTTAATATTAATAGAAGTACTAGATTGCCAATATTGTTGCAATTTATTGTGAAGTCGTGCAATGTCTTGCAATACCTTGTCAAGAAAACAACATGGTATTAATTTTTTAAATTGTTTTTGCAAAGCCATTCGAGCATTTGTTAATGTTATACTTAAATTTAACAACTTCAGAGTAAGATTTTTCTGACTGCAAAATAGTGGGTTCGTGTTTCTAAGTAATTATAGTCATACCAATAAAAGGGAAAGAGTTTCTAGGGAATTAAAACGTTGGAAATATCTAATTGGTTATTAAAAATAAATGTCGAAGTTTTATCCAAATTTGCGTAATTTAAAAAAAAGTTTAAGTAAACCTTAGATGCCACACCAGGAGAAACACAACATAGCGACGCCACTGCTAGCAAAATTCCAATGAAACAAAGTCATCATCGTGTAAGACATAAACAAACATTTACATCCTAATCAAACACTAAGCTACACTTTTATACACAATAATTTAAAGCAGTATACAAATGACATAATTCTTTTTAAAATTAATTTACCATAAAAAGCATATCTCTAGAAAGACCGATATAAATATAGCTGTTTGAAAGAGAAGGATTTGTTATATGATGTGCCTTATTTTTCTCTGCAAATCATCTCTGCCGAGTATGCTATTATAATATTCTTTCCATTTAAACCCAAATTTAATTAAGCTCAAGTTATACCCCCATACATTCTCAATTCACTCCACCGAAAACAAAATGCCTTTCTATTTTTTTTTCTTTCTTTCTCAGACCATTAAATCACCGATGACTAAAACATTTCAAGGTTAGGTTTGAAAGCAAAATTTAAAGTAGATGTTTTGCATTATGTATAACTAAAAATCTTCAATGAAAGACTATTGTAAATCTGTTTCAGTCCTCACAGGCCGATGATGAAAACTTTAATACTGAAGCGAAAATGGAAATGCTAACTGACGCTGCAAAGTAAATGTCTAAGGCAGTTTAAAAAAATATTTTTTCTACATTGACAAGCAGCTCCAGTTCCATTCCACAGGCTGTTGTCCTGGCAGACGTGGAGAGCGTCACCCACCAGCTGGAAGCCCCTGGGACACAGGACCGTGCACTCTGACCCCAACACATTCTCGTGGGAGCAGAAGGTGGTCGAGTTCTGGGGCGGCTCAAAGACTGGACACACTTTCACTGGGGTAAGAGAATATTTGATGTGGTCAAGTAGTATAATTATTTCGTAAAACTGGAGGTACATGAAGTTAAGCATATGAAATATGGAAATTTGCATAGACTAATTAACTGTGAATATCGCCATATAAATTAGAAATCAGACAAATATGAAAACCATTACAGTAACAGCTTTAAAATGCACCACAAATAAAAAAATAAAACGAATTTGCTTTCTTTTACTAAAAGCTTTGGTCGCTCAAGGATCCAGGGGCGGAACTACAGTGCCACCAGACCCTGCAATGCGGGGCGCCCACGCCCTTTAGGGGCCCACGGCCGCCCCTAATAGTTTTTATTATAGTTTAAAAAATCTAATTTTCTTGCAATTTTTGACTTGATGTTTGTTTTGTAAAACGATTACCATAGCTGCGGTTTGATTATCTTTATTCTATAGACACCATCCCCACGCTCTTTTATATTCTTTTTTCCTTTCTTTTTAAACCACTGTGAAAGTCAAGTCCTCTCTCTTCTACAATTAAACTTAACAAAGATAAGCAATGTTCAAACCACTTCCAAGACTTATTTCCCTTTTTAGTCAAATTGGGGTGCTCATAAGCTCCTTTTAATAGATTTGTACTAAACAAATTAAAAAGCAATTACTTCTCCTACTACATATTTTTTCATAAAGTACTTACTAACGAATAACCTCGTATAAAAAGGAAATGTATTTAAAATTAATAATATAAATACAAAAAAAACAAAAATAATCACAACACGAGACACCATTATTTCTACAAAGATTTTATGTTTTATATTCTTTTGGCCAGATAGATGTTCAGGGAACCCATAGCAAATAAAATGAAACTGATTTTCTCAAAACACACTAATGTACTTACACAAATGACATGATGTAGTTATTGTTTTAATGGAATTTTTTTTTCCTTCAAAACCGGAATAGGCCAGCAATGAGTATCCTATGCTCTGTTCGTATTTTGTGTTTGTATATATATATATATATATATATATATATATATATATATATATATATATATATATATATATATATATATATATATATATAAATGGGCGGGGGGCCTAAACAAAATTTTTGCGGGGTGGCCATCTTTGTCTAGTTCCGCCACTGCAAGGATCCCTTGCATATTTTAGCCATCAAACGTGGATCCAAGAAATCAAATTAGTTTATTTTCATTTAAGTGCAGTTTAAAGCTTGTTATTTGTTTTAAAAAATTATATTCATGTGTATAGTCATGAGAAGAAGGTATCTGAAAAGTTTGTAAGAAATTAGTAAATAAGAAGTTGGTCCAAATTAGTTATAAAATTTGGCACTAACCCACAAACAAACAAACAAAAAAACGGATATACTGAACTAAGTAAAAGCTTGTAACAAAAGCTCCTCTGTAAAAAATAACTCATCTTAGTAAAACAAAGGTTGGTTAAATATTGCACATTTTTTGTACATTTGATTATAAAAAGAATTAAAATATTGCAGTAGCGTAGCGGAGGGGGGGGGGGGGGGCAGGGGGGGACATATGTCCCCGAGCGCCGATCTTAGGGGGCGCCAAAATGGGTTGGAAAAATAAATTGAAAGGCTGAGGGGGGTGAAAATCGAATTTGTGAGGGGGGGGGGGGTGCAAATCGAAATCTCGAGGGGGGTGCAAATCGAAAGTTTGAGCGGGGGGGGGGTGCAAATTGAAATCTTGAGGGGGGGGGGGGTGCAAATCGGAAAGTTTGTGCCCGGGCGCCGGGAAGGGTCGCTACGCCTCTGAAATATTGCATTGTGAAGACTATTAACTTTTCACTTGATAAAATCTACATATATAATTCTCTACGTCGCCCAACCATGCGGGACACAACGCACGCACGCCGACCCTCTAACCCTCTTCCCGCCTCCTCCCTCGCTCTTCAGGCATGCGCAACAGTGTGTACCCACCCATCCGATGTTGACAACTGTGTCTTTCATGAAGTCCTAACCCGTCACTAAATAGCGGTGTATGCTACGCCGCGGGTCGGCTCGTTAAAAATAATTTTGCTAAGTGTTATGTAATCTTGTAATATTTATTTGGCTGGTTCAATGTTCCCTTTCAACAATATTGAATTTACCTTTAACTGAGATCTGCTTGACACAACGTGACACTTGTCCAGCGTTATCGGTCGCGTAGAAGTTGACCTTATGTTCACCTACGTCAAAGAAACTTCCAGAAATCAAGTCACTGTTGACAGTCACGTGACCGGAGTTGTCTGAAGCAGACGGCGCGGACCAGACGACACTTACTTTCCCGCGCTTCGGCCCTGCATACACTTCAACATCCGGTCCGCAGTTAATGGTCGGCGGGGTCACGTCTGCTCGATGAGAGATGTAGAAATGTTTAATTAATAACATATTGTATAATTTTTTAAAAAGCTGTGGGATAGTTTACATCGTTTTATTCGATTTAAACCTTTTTAAAATAACCACAAGCCTTTACACAAATATACACACATCAGCACAACACTATACACACCTTTATACACAACTCTAAAACAAATACAAACCTCTACAGGATCCAGCTGAGCTCCAGTAACCGTTAGCTTGGCACGTGATTTTACTTGACCCATAATAACCGTAAGAACAGGACAACGAGCATGTGATGCCGTAGGAGTAGGAGTTGCAGTAGAAATTGCCATAGGAGACTGAAGGAGGCGAACCACACACCACCACTGTTCAAAGAGATACGTTTAATCGGAGAAAATTTAAAACAAGAAATTAATACATATCGAGTTTCGTTTGCTATGTAATACGTAAAACAACATAGTTCCGAATTAAAAACTTAATTGGTAGTTTCTCATAAGGAGACTTTGCGAGAAAGGTATGATCGATTTCTCGCCATATATTATTATGTCAGAGATACACCGAATAAAACTAAAAAGCGGCATAAAACCTTAAACGTTAAATATACAAAAACTAAATTTCCATACTAAATTTTTATTTTTCCCTCAATTTAAACGTGTTGCACACTTCAAATAATGTCTTTATTTGAGAAATAGTAGCAGTTATTCAATTGGTGTTATAAATATGTCATTCGTTACACAATATCAAAAGAATATTGATAAATAGCAACTGTTGAGGAAATATTTTTAGAATTTTAATAGAAACTGTAGTTCTTGTTGTTCAAGCCCTATAGAATTATATGTAAAAGTACAGCCGTACATGCGCAAGTACGTTAAGATATTTCCGTCGACAACAGGTTCGAATCAGCGATGAGTTGGTCAGGGTGCACTTTTGCTCGTTTTATTTTTTTTGCTTATTCTTATATAACAGTTAGGGGTTGGGGGGGGGGGAGGTGGGTGGCACTTACAATACAATCGGGCTATACAAATGTAGAAGTTGTGACGAATTTGAAAATATCAAATTTTTCGAGAAAACAAAGCGTCAAGTAGAAGTGAAAAGAACTTTAAGTTGCGGCCCAATGTTTTCTAGGCACAGGAGGGATAAGATGATGATTAATTCACATCACTCAATATTTTTCACGAAGCGCTAGTATTTATCATCCAGATTTGTGAGAATGTTTGTATTGGATCGCAGCGCACTAATAACGATGTATGCAATTCATCTGCCCGTCATTAAAGCTTTAGACGTCAGTAGGTGACAAACCAACTTCCTACTGCGGAGGTGTCACATATAATTAATACAAGCTCAGGTTTCTTGAGACTTTGCAGCTAGTTAGTATAGTTATATATAATATATGAGAGTTTACAAACGAAACGTTTACATACACGTGCAAGAAGGTTTCGACTGACTCCAGTATTCGTTCTCCTGACACTCAGCCATGGAGCTACCAACAAGTCGGTAGCCAGTGTCACAGCTGTAGTAGCACTGGCTACCATAAACATTCCTTTCCTCTGCGTTGTAGCACGTGACAGATCCATATGAGATACTTAGATGATCAAGGCTACATCTGCGGACTGAAATACAATAAAAATTATTATTATTATTATTATTATTATTATTATTATTATTATTATTATTATTATTATTATTATTATTATTATTATTATTATTATTATTATTATTATTATTATTATTATTATTACAAATTATTTTCTAATTAATACAAGCATAAAATAATATTGATTATCTTTTTTATTCACCTCGTTAATTTAAAAACGGGTACATGTTGATCTGGGTATAACTTAAAACAAAAATAATATTTAATATGTAAAACCTTATAACCTATAAAACCTTATGTAGTTTAAAAAGCCTGTACTCACCTTTTAATGTAAATGAAAAAGAACAGTAATCACTTGCATATTTCGAGTCATATACTTTATACCTTATATAATAGTATCCTTCTGTAAAAACACTCCCAGATGAGGGGCCGTCTGTTTGAAAATAACTGCAAAAATATCGATAGCCATGAACTAATGGTCAGTAAAAAAGCACACGGTTGGGGCTGTTGGGGTGGAAAGCGATATTATTCGGCCGAAATTTTAGGAGCTAAGAAAAATATAACATAGATTTTTATATTTAAAATTACCAAATAAACCTGTTTACTAGAAAATTAGTATATTGTACCGAATAGATTTTTTTTTTAAAATTGCTTGTTTTATAACAATTCCTTATACTGTAATTTTCATATAGTTAAGGCCACTAGACCTACTAAACGAGGCAAAGCTGGTACAACACGACGACTGCTACTAGTGCTACTATTTTTTTCCACTATAAATAGTAGTGAATTATTACATATTTGAAGAAAATAATGTATTTTCTCTGTTTTTTTCATGTATTTGATAATCGTATTTTCCATCATCTCGGGAACACCAAAAGCTTACAATCGGCTTTACAAATTACAAATATATGGTATTTTTGCGACCTAGTTTTCGTCAGTTTCTGCTGTTTTCTCAGTTCGGAGTTTTTTAACACTAAAAAGCCTACTACATGTTTATTTATTAACCAATGCCCACCATATTTTCGGTAATTGTTTTCGTGCAGAAATAAAACAATTCTTACTAGGGAATTGTGATGGCATTCATTGAAAGAAAGTGAATGGTAAATATTATGCAAATTTTGAAACTGTTGAATACTAAGACATGTTTTTGAAACTGTTGAATACTAAGACATGTATGATTTTTCAGACTTCGTAAAATTCTGACCAATAGCTCTTTTAAAACGTTATGTGACAAAAGTTTTAAAATGTACTAAAATATGAGCCGTTTAAATTCGTTTGAAATAAATGCATAAATTGAAAAAAAAAAACTTAGCGTTTGAAAAATACAAAATATTAAAAATTGCGGAAGTTTTCAGCCGAAATTGTTTTCAACCCATTTTTTTTTGGTATTTAATACTTATTTTAATGTGCCGAAGATGGTAAGCATATTGAAAAGGCACCCTGCCGGGCGCCGCAAATAAGATATTTTAATTTTGTTTTTCCGCAGAAACCTTCTCGGGAGTATTCTCAACTCCCAAAACTTTCATGGCACTCGGATGAACAGTGTCGAACCGCATAGGACTTTTTATATACCGTATATAGAAAAAAAATTCGTCCTCCCGAGGCGCCACACCTAGGTATGCGCTGGGTAGGTTAATTCACCTAAAGTGGCTGGACAATAGTGAATGATGTTGACCCCCCCCCCCCAACCCACCCCGAACTGATCTGTTAAGTACATTTGGGAAAACGCGTAATGAGGTACCAAAGTACCATGCCGCCAGAATCATAGCTTTTGAAACAGGTAAAACTCTGTGAATATTGTTTTTGCAATTACCAGTAAAGAAGTGTGTGAGCAATACGGTGATCTAACCCATGCTATATCATTCTGTTAAAAAATTATCTTTAAAGAACACAAAAACAGTAGCTAATTATAAATATGGTGATCGAAACTGCAAAACCAATAAGTTAGTTATATGTAAGCTATTATTCAGAATGTTCAACCTATTAGATTTAGTTTTTCTTTGTTTTAAGAAAAGTTTGATTTTATACATACTCTGATTTAATTTTTTTTATTATGCTGTAATATTTTAGCATTTATGATAACAATATATTTAATTCTGATTGTAGACAACATATTTTTGTAAAACCGAATAACGTTAAGCTACTATATTGCATGCTAAAGTAATCACTGATCTGTTTTGACATCTATCTATATTCTACTAAAACTCAAGTTTGTTTGCATGTTTGAATATTTATTTGTTTTTTTGTTTGTCTTATTGACTACTGTAAATTGTTCTACGCTATATGCAGAACTGTAAAATAGTATGTAGGTAGAGAACAATTTTTGTTTTCAGACAGACTGTTAATCACAAATTTATTCAAAGACGTTAATTAATTTATTGATATATTCATAGGTAGATTAACCACATTAATTTTAAAGTTTTAGAACAATGGCTTTCTTTGACTGAATAGTGACGTTACAAGTTTTGTTTACTTTTTAGTACAATAACATGGCAGCTTCCATCATAGACTTTGTGGCCCATTCAAAAGTTTAATGCGTTCTAAAGCTAATTTTCTGTCGGTCATAACTTTAACAATACGTCCGTTTGCTGTTTATTTTACGTTCCAACACTTATATAAATTTTCAACTGTCTTTTTCATTTAGTTTTATAATAAATTTCTCTAGCTCTACAATCTGTCCAAGAAAGTTATTTATAGATCTAAAAATATCAGGTGGCTAAGCAAGTTATTTATAGATCTAGATCTAGAATCTAGGTCAAACCAAAGATTAATTAGATACATACCAAAGATTAATTAGATAAAAATAAATCTATTTTATAATCATAATACATTTTTTAGTCCTTAAATACGTGATATAAATCTCTGTAGTTTATCTATTTAGATCTAGATCTATTTAGATCTAGCTGTAATAGGTCTAATGATTAGATTCTAGATCTAGATCTAGCAAAAGTTACGCAAAAACTATCTAGATAATTTCAGACGTTCATTATTTTATATAAATCTTTGTTCGGCTAATTTAAGATAAAATTTAATTTGAAAGTTACTACTACTAGACTTAGATCTAAATCTATGCGCGTAAATCAAGTTGCATAAGGAGACTCAAAGTATTAAACTATAGTATAAAAAAACAGCTATGACTTCACGAGTTAAATAGCTAAGTTGTTAGTGTAATCGGCTTGCATACGGGTGGCACAGGCTCTAGACCAATACGTCAATGATATTTTTTTTTTTTTCAATTTTTATTTTACTTTTTAGATGTAAATGATAAAGTTGCCTATTTGAACTTGGCGGGATACCAGGCAAGTGAAGTAGAGTTAATCTGTTTCTTTGTCCTAAGCATATGAAGGGATAGTGAGGTCAAAGACATGCTCGGTTGGAATCGTTTTTTTTAAACGATAAAAACATGTTGTCTGAGACTTGGCGGGACACTGGGCAGGTGAAGTAGAGTTGAGTAGGTCACCTGTGATGTCAGTATATGAAGGGATAGTCGAAAATCGGTGTTTTCGGTGTTTTTAAAAGACAAAAAACATTTTTGAATGTGGGGTCTGGTTTTTTTGTGACGATAAGCGACAGTCGTGATGTTTTTTTATGGATGACCCCCGAAACCCACAGTTATCCAACGGATGACGGGTAATCTAGTTTACAATTAAATGTGTAGAAATAAGAGAGTGATTATTTCCCCTTGTTCGCCTGTCTTAATTAATATTCTAGGAATCATTATGTCAAATTGTTTTTTTTACAAGGATTACAAAACAGTTGGTGTTGCGTTAATTGTTTTGGGTTTTATTGTGTGTATATTTTATTTTTGTTTTTATTTAGATTGATACATTGTTTTGTTTTGTCGGCCTACATTGTGTTTTTTTTTTCTTATTTCTTCAGAGTACTACTTTTAATTTAATGGTTGTTTATAATTTACATAATTACCTTGGGTAAGAATCTTCATTGTCATACACAGATGGAGCATTCCAAGATATTACCCCTTTGACCGCTCCTTTATGCACTACCCAGTTACTTAAAACCGACGGGCAATAAATTCTAGGTGACGTGTTTTCTTGTGGTCCATCTAAACATTAAAAAACACACGTTTCACTAATAAACCTTTTGCGAACATTTTTATACAATCACTTATACCGATGTACGCACACGCTCATATACATATATAAATAAATAAATAAATAAATAATATATATATATATATATATATATATATATATATATATATATATATATATATATATATATATATATATATATATATATATATATATATATATATATACCAGCAATGGAACAGAATAATACTAAACACAAACAAAAAAGAAAACACAACACAAACATAAACACAAACACAACACAAACACAAACACAACACAAACACAACACAAACACAACACAAACACAACACAAACACAAAAACAAAAAGAATTTAAAAAATCCTAAAACAATGCAAACACAAACACAACAAATAAACACAAAAGAAAACACAAACACAACGCAAACAAAACACAAACACATACACAAAAGAAAACACAAACACATACACCATGCAAGCACAAACTCAAAAAACAAAAACACAAACGCAACACAGAAACACAAATAAAACTCAAACACAACTCAAAGCAAACAAGCACAAACCCATAGCGCTTACAGGATAGCCCATCGCGCAAAAGTGAACCCTGCCCGGGCGCCGGAGGACGCGCGTGAATCAATTTATTGAACGACTATAAAAACCTCAGCTAGTCCGCAAACCGAACGATAAAAGTAAACATAGGGGACATTTATTAGTGGTTTCTAAACTGCTATTAATTAAAAATAATAATTAGTAAACAGTACGTTCAGTATATAAAATAAATAAATGCAGTATTTAAATAAACCGGGAGTGATCTCCCCTAAACTTTCTCGAATATTCTTATATAAAATAACAGGGGATGGAAACTCGGGCTATAGACATGATTTTTAATCCATTTTAAATACTTAAAGTTTTAAAAATAGAATAAAATCTCGTAGACAAATTAATTGCACACCAAGTGAACGCAAATAAAAAAAGCGCATAATAGTGCGCAATATTATTAGTACTTTTAAAATTTACATTAGTTTTTTGAGAAATCGGAAGTAGCGTAAATTACTACTTCCAGTCAACGGAAATTACTCAAAATTTAACAGAAGGTAGAGAATTAGATCTTTTACTTACATGTGAAATTTCATTTATCTACCTGAAATAGTACTCAAGTTATAGGCTTTTAAAAAATTCAAAGTAGGAAAAGTACCACTTCCGGTTATCGGAAATCGCTCAAAAGCTGATACGGATCTACGATTTTGATAAAATACTTATATATGAAATTTCATCAACCTAGCTGTAACGGTACTCAAGTTATCGTGTTTACACACGGACAGACACACACACAGACACACACACACACAGACATACGGACAAGATTGCAAAATTATGTTTTTCCGTATCAGTGAGGTGTAAAACGTCGAGATTTGTAAAAATCTCAATTTTTTTTTTTGCACGATTACAATACTTTCTCTATACTACGTATATACGAGAAAGTAAAATATCAGTGTTTTACCTACCATATTGCACTTTATCAGTCCACGCTAATTTTTATTATTCTAATAATATTGTCCTCATGGTCGTCCGAAGAATTTGCATTCACATTTTGCAAATTATATTATTCCAACAACAATTCCCCATGGGACGTCAGCAGATTTTGCATTCGCATTTTTTATTTAGCGTGAGTTGAATTTACTTTTAATTACCTCCCCTGGCATAACAAATTAAATGTTTTAATTAATTCGTTTTTTTCTATAGCAATGACAGACGGACTGACACACTACCAGCTGCGTTATATATATATAAATATATATATATATATATATATATATATATATATATATATATATATATATATATATATATATATATATATATATATGTGTGTGTGTGTGTGTGTGTGTGTATATATATATAATGTATAATGTATAATATATGTATAAAAATATCAAAGGTTGTAAGTTTGTGGAATAGTCCTTTATGCATTACTACAACTTTCATCCTACCGTCGTGAAACTTTGGGAAGATGTGAATATTCCAGTAGTTTGCGATGCGATTCTTCTCTATATACCGTATAAAATAAAAAAAACTACTTTGTTTCTTTAATAGAAGAGCTTTTGTTAAAGAAAGCAAATTAGTTTTATTTTCTTATTTTCAGTGCATTTTGTAGCTTGTTACTATAAAGTTTTTTTAGAAGTGTTTTATTTTCTATTTTGTAGTGTTTCCTAATTTACGAAGTCGACACGATTGAAAATATTTGCTTCAAAACACCATAAAGTAGCTCGTAATATATGAAAGACGATATCGGCCCCGTGAAAGCAGCCGTCCGTGACCATATTTCACAGACGATATCAAGTCGTTAACGCCCCTTATTTGCAAATTGTTTAAAAACTTCATTATCTGCCCCTAATAGCCTACACTAGATCGATTGGCTCAACGATTGTAAACATTATCGTGCACCCCATACTGATATCCCCCTTTCTTTTATTGACTATAAGCCGACACGCGGCGTATCATACGCCGCTATTTAGTTGTTTTATTTTCTACTTTTCAGTAATTCATAACCCCCCCCCCCCCACCCTCATTTCTCTTAACTCGTACCCTACCACCTCCCCCCCCCCCCCCCCGTGAAAGCAGCCTCCTCTTAATTACCTCCCTGTGATGACGCAAGGTTGCGTCGGAGTGGTAAGGTAGATAGCAGAAACAGGCTATAGCGAGTTGGTCAGATAGAGACCAATAAAAATACGGAAACTGACCGGTCACGTGGGACGGTCAGCTGACCGCTGAGGCGTGGGTCAGTAGAGAGATTAGCGGCAGTTGATAGGTAGTTAGCGAAGAGTAGAGAAGGTGTTAGGAAGTGGTCAGAGACGGTCGAGATATGTAGGGCTAGGTAACAGTTGATAATTAGTGAAGAGAATGGTCAGATAGGTAGATCTAGGAAACGGCATACAGTAGTAGAGAGTATAGAATGGGCTAGTTAGCTAAGTAGAACTTGATTTTATAATTTTAATAAAGAACATTTTGTGTTTGAACTTGTGTTATTGGATTCGTTACCACCTCGTAAAAATCCCAACCCTCACAACTGGTGCAACTAGAAGAACTTCAAACCAGATCCACTCGTACCCTCACACTCCCCTAAGTGTAAACTAGTTTCAAACTAAATTATCTGCTCTTAATAGCCGTCACTAAACCCGGCTGTACGATTGTAAACATTTAGCGTGAACCACAGCTCACCAGACCACGTGGGGGTGGGGGAGGTTGATTTATGCCTAGTGAAGAAGAGAGGGGACTGCAAGGCGCGCTTACAGCTAGTTTTCTAGGGTCTCCAAGAAGAGAATTATATATACGAGCCGACCCGCGGTGTATCATACGCCGCTATTTAGTTGTTTTATTTTCTACTTTTCAGTAATTCATAATTTGTGAATTCGACAGTACCAATGTTGTCACTGAAAATATTTGCTTTAAAACACTATCAGTAAGTCGTTAAGAACGATAACCCCCCCCCCACCCTCCTTTCCCTCAACCCCTAACCCCTACCCCCCCTCCCGCGAAAGCAGCCTCCTCTTAGCTACCTCCCCTAAGTTTAAAATCGTTTCAAACTAAATAATCTGCCCCTAATAGCCGTCACTAAACCCAGCTGTACGATCGTAAACATTCAGCGTGAACCAAAGCTCACCAGACTTCCTAGAGAGGAAGAGAGGGGACTGCAAGGCGCGCTTACAGCTTGTTTTCTAACGTCTCTAAGAAGAGATTTATATATAGAGATTTTAATATATCGAGTAATTTAATTTTGTTACATTGGATTTAAGATAGAGTAATAGCCGCTTGTTACAGAACGAAACAAGAAATATATTTAGAATTAATGAAAAGAATAGCGAGTGAACGCATTTTGGATGGTTTCTTACACAAAAATGTTAGCAGACTTTGAAGGTTTTGAAAATAATCTGATTTCTATCTCATTATACTGCGTAATAGTGTGTTTCAAAGGCTCTGAGCAAAGTAGAGCGATTAATAATAAATGTGAATCAACTTAAACATCTTCGATTTATTTCCCTCTTTGATTGTTAGCATTTATGAAGTTTTAACAAAAAATATTGTTTATATACGTAAAGTGTTAAAACAGTAGTTAAAAATGACAAAACTAATGCATCTTTAGTTTCATCTAATATAAGAATTAAAATATTATCTTAATATAAGTTATATTAATAAAAAAGGACTTACTTTTACACGATTGACCACCTTCAACGATCATGACCAGAAATACAAAAACATGTTTGAAGTTGGTCTTCTTCATACCGCTTTTAAAAATCTATAATAACTGATCAAAAAGTCAAAATACGTATATACTGTAGATTCAAAAAGATGCTTTTGAAATTATTTAGCAATCATTACCGTGCCGGAAGTTAATTACGCATAACGTACACGAAAGAGAGATGGCCCGCAGAATATGTTCCATAGAGGCATATACATACACATGCATACACGTATATATAAATGTATATACATATACTCACAATTATATACATAACCTCATTCATCTTTGGAAATTGTCTTCTCTAAAGGCTACTTTGCTACTTGTGGATAAAAAAACAACAATACAATTCCACGATGAATTCATTCAGTCTAAGATATGCTTTGCTTCTGTAGTCTAGAGTATCTGCTTTAGACCTAAACAGAGTTAATTCTTGATACAAAAAAAGGGCATTAAAATCAGCGTTTATAAAATAGTTTAGATGCTTGTATTAATTTTATTCTTCTAATACAATAAGGCAAAAATTAAATAACTCGAATTATCTATTTAAAAGAATAAAGTAGATGTGATGACCTATACTAAAACAATCATTCAAATTCAATGAAAATAAGAAAATAAAACTAACACGCTTTCTTTAATAAATACTTTAGTTAATGTTAATGTTAATGTTAATGTTAATGTTAATGTTAATGTTAATGTTAATGTTAATGTTAATGTTAATGTTAATGTTAATGTTAATGTTAATGTTAATGTTAATGTTAATGTTAATGTTAATGTTAATGTTAATGTTAATGTTAATGTTAATGTTAATGTTAATGTTAATGTTAATGTTAATGTTAATGTTAATGTTAATGTTAATGTTAATGTTAATGTTAATGTTAATGTTAATGTTAATGTTAATGTTAATGTTAATGTTAATGTTAATGTTAATGTTAATGTTAATGTTAATGTTAATGTTAATGTTAATGTTAATGTTAATGTTAATGTTAATGTTAATGTTAATGTTAATGTTAATGTTAATGTTAATGTTAATGTTAATGTTAATGTTAATGTTAATGTTAATGTTAATGTTAATGTTAATGTTAATGTTAATGTTAATGTTAATGTTAATGTTAATGTTAATGTTAATGTTAATGTTAATGTTAATGTTAATGTTAATGTTAATGTTAATGTTAATGTTAATGTTAATGTTAATGTTAATGTTAATGTTAATGTTAATGTTAATGTTAATGTTAATGTTAATGTTAATGTTAATGTTAATGTTAATGTTAATGTTAATGTTAATGTTAATGTTAATGTTAATGTTAATGTTGATGTTGATGTTGATGTTGATGTTGATGTTGATGTTGATGTTGATGTTGATGTTGATGTTGATGTTGATGTTGATGTTGATGTTGATGCTCATGTTGATGTTGATGTTGATGTTGATTTTGATGTTGATGTTCATGTTCATGTTCATGTTCATGTTCATGTTCATGTTGAGGTTGAGGTTGAGGTTGAGGTTGAGGTTGAGGTTGAGTTTGAGGTGGAGGTTGAGGTGGAGGTTGAGGGTAAAGGTAAGGGTTAGGGTAAGGAAAAGTGTAAGCGCAGCTGCAAGCATAGGTACTGTTACAGGAACGGGTACAGAAACAGGTACAGGAAGAAATAAAACTATAGGTATAGGGTTTGGAATATGCAAAGGGATAAAGCTAGGAGTGTGAAAAGTTATAAGGAAGAAGAATAAGCATCGGTACATAAACAGTTATAGTATAGATATCGATAAGAAATAATAATAGAGCAACATTGAAATTATAGTAGTATAGATAAAGAAATATGGAAAAGGTTAGTTTTATTAGAGGGATAGAGAGAGGTAGGAATAGAGAGAGAGAATAAGAATATGGATAGTGATATTCATACTGATAGGCATAGGGGTATGGGAATGAATAGTGATATTTCTATTGATATAGATGGGGATAGAGTTACATTCAAGTACATTTTCTTGTATTTGTTGTGATTGTGTTAAGCATTATTTTCTAAAGCCTCCATATTTACATAAAGATATTCAAATGTAAAATGTATACATTCCCCAAAACTCAGGTTGCGCGGGTTATAAACTGCTCTTATGAGATACGATCATCATGATATTTTGGGAAGTTTTTTAGAATAATCCTGGTAAGTACAATGTGCCCCCCCCCACCGGCTTTCTCGAGATAATAAAAACCAATCATAGGCCCTACCCGGCACCCCTGTGGTCGTGTATGCGGTGACTCCCGAGAGGGCTCCAAGTTGCTCTGACACTTGGGCGGTCGACGAGATATGTTTCACTTCACTATTAAGAAGGAGTATTAATGTACTTTCATACAGCAAGTTATGGGGCGTCGTTGAGATAGTGTGAACGAACCTGCGTTTTTACAAATAACTAATACATATAGCACCAGCTTTCTTTTCATTTAAATAAATCAGTTTTAGAAAACATGGCCACGTCTATTTGTATATACTATTAACCCATATTATCCCAAGGTCTCAAATTTTTATAATTTTTTGATATGGTTTAGCTTTTGGGCACTGAATGAAGGAATGACTATGGATTTTTTTAAAAAATCAATACTTTTTTAAATATCGATTTTTTTAAAAACGTCCCATAAATGGGACGCTAGCAACGAACGGCCCCATATACATTTATTGAAAAATAAAATCATTTTTCACGAAATATGGCTAATCACGCGAAAATTAAGCTGTATACTGATTTTGTACTGTTAGACCAATGATTTAATTGTTTAGGACAGCTAAAAATACTGATAATGATCAATTGGGTTAGCCATACCATGGTCTACAATGCAGAAATTATGTTCAAAAGTCTAGTTTACTTTCAATCTAGCATTCATCAAAGTGAACAACACTTGGAAATAAGTAAAGCTGTGACTAGTACATCTAATTATACACACATGATCACAAATATTCTTATTATTCATCGAAACTGTAATATAATTAAATATAAATCATTGATTTTTTTGGGGGGCGTACTTGAAATTTTCAGGGGTGGGGACTTAAATTTCAGGGGAAGGGTGGACATTGGTAAAAGTATGTTTTGTATATAAATTCCATTTTCTTCTGGGGGCAGAGCCCCCCCCCCCTCCTCCGAAATGATGCCTGAAAGAAACTCTGCCCTTAGTCATTTTGTAATAGATGATCCGGTCCAGTCCCAGATGTCATCCAGCCATCTTCTCTTTTGTTACCCTCGCTATTCCCCCCCCCCCCCACAGGCGTACATTAGGACATCAGACATCTTATTTCTAGGGCACGGATCCGTCTCTGGGGGCTTGTATTGAGTGTTCATGGCTCTCATCCATGTATGCACCTCACTATGCGAACAGCTCCCAATCTAACACCAGCAATCTCCTTAAAAAGTTAACAAAGTATAGCTGGTATCGGTAACCTTTGGAGGGGGATATTATTGGGGCATGACAACTGTACACAGCTAATTCACATTTCTGCTATATGTAGCATAAGCTCTCTTATATGAAGAGAGTTAACCAACCCCCATGACTGAATCATTTCACCTAAATCGTGGCCATTGTTATTATTCTGGTTTGTTATAATTTTAATATCACGCGCTAGTAAATTTACAGCACTACTAAATTAGTTTGTATTCAATGGTATTAAATACTTCAGTACGTGTAATTCTGAAAACTTAAAAATAAAATGTAAGTTTTTCAATATTTGCAATTTTCTAATACAATAATATATAAGAAAATATAGTTCAAGGTCATAATTAAATATCTATAAATACTACTTAACACCCCAAAGTCAACAGTTAACAAAGTCAACAATTGTTTCACCATAAATAACCATTTAACATAAACATTTGCATCTTTGTTTCTCGCTAGTGTCCAATAAATGTGACGTTTGTGTAACAATCTACATGGGGCCATTCGTTGCTAGCGTCCCACTTATGGGACGCTTGTTGTACACTTGATATAACGAAGTAGTAAAAAAAATTTGTTATTTTTAAATTTTTATCAGATAGAAATATGGTACTGCTACAAGTTTCAAATGTATTTTGCACTTAAAATGTTAATATTTTAGAAGATATGCATTATCCTGTGCGCATGTTTTCTTTTTTCCGCCATTTTGACAAGTCCTGCAAATCCGGCACTATAACATTTTTCTAAATTAATTTTTTTCACAAAACACACACAAATTCAATAGTCTAGCCATTTTCAAATACAATGAAACATAATTTGTGTTTTAACTAGTTTTTAATAAATTTTAGCAATTTTTTTACCAAGCGTCCCATAAGTGGGACGCTAGCAGAATATGGGTTAATAACATATTGATAAAACCCTCTTAATATATTGCGTCAGCCCGCAGCATTGCGCGAGACTGGTACGCTGGTGTTATTTTTGTACGGACTTGTCACGTCTAGAGGCCTTCATGACTTTTTCCTAGGGTATTAGCTTTTTTTTGTGACCCTCTGAGTTCGACCACCTGAGTAATTTTTAATGGATTTTGACGCGGATAATTATTTTATTACTATATAGCTCATTTGTCGCTGATCGGTCGCGGTCAGTTTTGACTGGGTTAGAACTAACGTGGACGTTTGTTGTTGTCTAAAGCAGTGGTCAGTTGGTTTAAGGGTTGTTTATTCACTGTACGTTTGGTTTGCTTGTTGTCTAGGGCAGTAGTATGTTGGTTTTGAGGACAGTGGTCAGTTGGTCAAGAACAGTAGTCAGCTGGCGTTAGTTAGAGTTTAAAAGTCCTGTCACTTTTTCAGAAAAAATAACTAAAATTTTGAAGTGAAAATTTACAAGTGCACGTCACTAAAACTTTTTATGTCGAGAGCACTTCAATTATGTGCACATGATGTTGCAATATTATGTCAAAACAGTTCTCTTGACATCACTAAAAAGCAAGGCCATCAATTAGCAAAGTAGCACTTAACCCAATTTGACAACAGAGCTTGCTTTTTTCCCCAGCTGACCTCGTCATGATTATAAAATATATTTCCAAAAATGGTTTGTTACTAATTTCGTTGCTTGTGTACACGTTGCCTCTTGTTTCTATTTCTATAATTATTAATATACGAAGTACATAAAAAAATTATTGCATT